ACTCATTTTGGAATGGAGTCTATTACAACCAATACACAACACTGGTAATTGAATAGCAGTTCTCCCATTGACATCTTTTGTAACTGCTATTCAGTTGCGAAATATTTGCTTATCTTTCACAATAGAATCTAGCCCATAGAATAGAAATATGTCTCTGTAGTAACATCTGCTTTTAGACATCTGATCACTAAAGTCTCTGTCATATGCTCACATTATTTTCTTTTTCACATACCCACACACAGTTAGTACCACCATCCCAGCATTAAAGGGACACTATAGTCACCAAACAGCTTTAGCTTAATGAAACAGTTATGGTGTATAGATAATGCCCCTGCAATCTCACTGCTCATTTTTCTGCCGTTTAGGAGTTAAATCACTTTTGTTTCTGTTTATGCACCCTTAGCCACACCTCCCCTGGCTGTAACTGACAAAGTCTTAATGAAAACAAAATTGTTTCACTTTCAATTAGATGTTAACTTACTTTAAAAGTTTTTATCTCCTGCTTTGTAAACTAAACTCTAATCACACAGGCGACTGCTGCAGGGTCCAGCAACTATTAAAAGAGCAGAAGATAAGAAATTATAAATTAAACAGAATTTGGAACAAAGGAAGTGTAAACATTAGATTACTTTTTACAGGAAGTGTTTAGGAAGGCTGTGTAAGTCACATGCAGGAAGATGTGCCTAGGGCTGAATGAGAAAAGTGATTTAACACCTTAATGGCAGAGAATTGAGCAGTAAGACTGCATAGGGCATGATCTATATACCAAAACTGTTGTGAATAGATAACCTAACCATGACGAACACAATGTAAATATACTAATTGCACAGAAGCAAGAAAAAATCAACACATAATTTTTTAAAGCTGTAAGGTTTGAAGCTGTAAGGTAACCATTACCCTCTCCCTTTCTCATCTCCATTAGGTCACCCCTCTATCTTCCATATATTATTTATGGGAGAGAAAATACAGAGCCTAATCCTGGTTGTGGAAGATGAAGGGTATTGCCTTATGGTGATGGGGGAGGGAAGTCATGTAGGGAGGGTTTAATATTTTATGTGATGAGGGAAGAGGTTTATTCCTTATGGTGATAGGAGAGGGAGAGTGGGGTAATACCTAGTTATAGGGACAAGAGCCCTCCATTATGTGTAGTCCCTCTCCTATCACCATTATAACGCTGATGGGAGGAGGTGATACCAAGTGTTGTTGGAAGATGGAGGAAGGTGATTCCTCATGGTGGTGCTTCACATCATTATGAGGAATCAACTCTTCCCTCTCTCAGCACCACTAGGCATCACAACAATCCCACCACCCTTAGGATTTACCACTCTCCTAACACTAATATTAGGCTAGCTTTTCTATGTTCTACAATTAGTAGCATGAGCAGCCATTCCGACCTCCTCTTACTATCTACGAAACCATATAACTTCTAAGCTCAGGTGGGTTAGTGCTTGTTCTTCCCTGTTGCCTGCTGGATAGTGAGCGTGCGGGTGGCTCCGGTGGAGTTAGCTGTTGCGCCATGCAAACCTGCTGCCATTCCTGCAAGCTGTCACCAGTGGGGGATCCAAAGGAGGAGCACCAAGACAAATGCCCCTCACCTGAGAAACCATTGTGTGATTTGTTGGCGAGGGAGGACCATGACAAGTGCCTCCCCCAGGATGCCAGGAATTGTCTGGCCATCAGCAGTGGCTGACCGAAGGAACATTCTCACAGAGTGGGTGATGTCCCTTCACTCAGTTCTTGCTGACAGCCCCTGGCATCTTCAGGGGAACCGGACAAGCAGGCCCGTCGCAACAAAGCAAGCAAACCAAGCAATTGTCATCAAGGCTTCCAGCTGGCCTGGGGCACCAAGACAACAACTGGTTAAGAATAAAATGCAACGACAAACTGTGTGAGCGCCCCTTTGATAGTGAATGTAGTAAAGTGCAATGACACTGCAAGGTTTCCTTTACCCAACAAATTGCACAATGCCACAGATGTCCTAAAGGTAGGAGTCCAGGAGCAGTTTTGGAGGATTGGAGGCACCCTCACATGACCACAAAAGCAGCACCAACATCCATAATCTTTTTATTTTTATTTTTATAATTGTTTATTTTTCTTGTGCTTGCAAATTTAGACCCATATTTGTATATTTTTATGTTTGTTCTTGTAGTTAAAGAGATTTTATAGTGCCATGAAAACAAAGCCCTACAGTGCCCTCTTGCTGGCATCCCCCCTCCTGCGGTGCTGAAGGGATGAATAAAGCACTTTCAATCACTTACCTGAATCCCGCGCTGATGTCCCTCTGGCCGCGCTTACATTAGGATTTCACCATGGGAAAAAGAGCATTATTCAATGCTTTCCCATGGGGATTCCGGTGATTGCAAGTCCTCATGCATAGCGTGAGGACGTCAGCGTCATTTAGGCAACCAAAAGTCGTCTAAGCACCCAGAAGTCCCACTAGTGGCTGTCTGGTATATATCACAAATGGCACCCATGCTTCCATTGATAATCAGAGATGAAGGACTGAAACTGAATCAATTCAAAATATTGATATTTTAAATGGGCATCCTAAGCATCATAACCACGATAGCTCAGTATTGTAGTTATAGTGGAAAAAGTCTATGGACGCCACACATATGTTTTTTTTTTGTCATGAGCTGTATGATAGGCTCTCCCTGATGTCTACAGACTGTAGTCCCTTCAGCAGTTCCTATTAGGCAGAATTCACTCTTATAGTATTCAATATCCATTCCATATGATCTGCATGGCAATGAAGTGCTAAGAGCGTTGGGCTGGCCAACCCTCTGGTTATGGTGTTTAGAATGCTCCTTTTAATATCATGTATTTTAATCAAATGATTGAAGAGTGAATTTGAAACGGACACTTAATTACCTTTCCATACTGACCCAATGGCAACTCACTCTAGAGCCAGCAGACTTTCAAGCATTGCTGTTGTAAGAGTGCTTCGCCCTTGGTACCAAAATAATAAATTATACTTCTAACAAGATACTGCATGTAGATACCCTTACAGATGTTTACAAGAACTGACTGATGATCTGCACATTCTTGACAAAATGTAGAAGTCTCTCATGTTTCATGTGGTAGTGTGAACCCTTCATGTGTTCTTCTACTAAAATGAAAATGTCCACAATCACAAATAATGTGCCAATGTTCTGTTTTTGACTTTCTCGCTTTACCTGGTGACCTGCTGGGCTGAACCTGAAATCAATTGTAGAAAGCCTCTGTTATTGTTATTCTTATTACCTGCTTGGTTGCATTGTTAACTTGCTGTGCATAGATTGTCAGAATGTATTGAGCTGTTACTTGTACCATGTTATGGAAACTTAAATTCCAATAACACTTTTTTACAAAAACATCCGAGTCCTCGAACCTCAAACATAGACTAAGGAGTCCTCTACTCACTCCAAAGTCCGCCATACATTTTATTTGGATGGAAAAAAAATAAAAATTTTAAAGGTAGCTGTTGATGATAGTAACAATGCTGTTTGCTTTACTTCCAAGATACATTCCTTGTTTGTGAGATGTCAAGGTACTGTGACCTTGCTTGCCTAATACTGAGAGTCAATGAGAGCTCTAGCAGAGAAATCAATGTGCATGCCTCTCTCCTAGGGTGTCCAGGATCAGATGTCCCTATGGAAAGTGAATAGGTGATGTCAGAAAATCCTTCTAGATGCAGGTAGAGCACATCTGAGGTGTAGAATCAGAAGGTGCACTTTTTGCAATTTCGACAAGATTTTGACATGCCCAGTTGTTCTCTATAGCTTGTCCGGATAGCCATCAAACAGGAGCAGGGGAAGCTAAAAAATTATCATTCCAGTGTCAGATATAGCACAACTTTTCTTTTTATGTTAAACCCCCAGGAAAAACTACCTTGTTCTGCCACCCACTTTCTGATAGTCTCTCTACTTGTTCCTAAATCTCCAAGTAAGAGTTTTTTATTTCCTTATATCTACTTGCCTACTTAAAAAAAAGAAAAATCTCAGTAATCCATACCACTGCGAGCAGTTTGGGGCATTTTTTTTTTTTTGCATCAAAAACTGGCGATGGGCCTATACTGTAATTAGTTGAAGATCAATAAGTGAAGATACATCACACCCAGCGGACAGCAGATCAGAGAAGTTTATCTGAGAGCCATGTATACAAGAATAGTAAACTCATGACAGTAGAATAAAAAAGATCTTAAAGGCTAGACATGTGCAATAGTTTTGGTCCGAATTTAAATTCGTCTGAATTCGGCACTTCAGAAATTCTGGTAGTGCCTAACCGAATTGCCGAAGTGCCAAATTTCGGAAGTGCCCAAGTGCTTCGGATTTCTGAAAAGTGGCAAAACAGGAGAGGGAGGGAAGATGACAGGAATCTAACCTAACCCTACTCCTAACCCTAACCCTTACCCCAACCTTCCTCTAACCCTACCCCTTATCCTAACCCTTACCCCAACCTTGCTCTAACCATACCCCTTATCCTAACCCTTACCCCAACCTTCCTCTAACCCTACCCTTAACCCTACTCCTAACCCTAACTATACCCCTAACCCTAACCCTATCCCTAACCCTACCCCTAACCTGAAGTCCTAAAGCCGAAGTCCCGAATTGCCGAAGTCCTGAATTGCGGACGTGCCAAACTGAAGTGCCGAATTGCCAAAGTGGCGAATTGCTGAAGTGCCGAATTTCGGAAGAGCCGAAACGAATTGATGAATTGCCGAAAACAATCTTAAAGGATTTTTTTTTCTTTTTCTATTTATATGTGTAAGCCTTTAAGAAATCCTTGATGTCTTCATGTCCTCCCTCACTTTTTTAATGCATGACATTATAATTATGTTTTTCTTTCAATGTGTTAAATTTTACATTATATGCACAGGTCTGTTAATGTTTTATTTCTCTCTTTGCAGTTAGTTCATTGATCATCGATACAATCTGGAATTATTCAGCTAATATGGCCGTTTAAGATCTTATAGATTTCTCTGGATCAGACTTTTGTCTCATCTACTGGTTTCCGACCATTGGATTTCTACCAGCGTCTCTGCTCGAGGACCACCAATTCTATACTGTGATTCTTGACTGCTTGTGTACAAACTCTGTCTTGTTCTAAGGATTGCATCTTAATACCTTGATGGGATCTTCTAGTAATAACCCGGACTTGGTTAAAAGACTGTCTTCTATCTATTCCCTGGACATTGTAAAGGATTACCTGTTACTAGAGATTTATTTAAGAACGTTCCTCCTCTTCTTCTCAGACTTGATTTGTTGGTTACTGGAACTGGATCTGGCTAACTGGATTTTAATTCTCCTCGCTTTCTGGATTCTTATCAACATTGTAACTCCTGTAGCAATGGATTAGTTACTGGCTGCTGCTATAATTTTATATCTCCTGTGAACATCATCAATATACCAACATTTTGTTAAACACTTTTTTTTATATTTAGTGTCTGTATTTGGATTATAGTGTGCAGAATGTTACCCACAGAATCCTAGTTCGCGTCGCGTACGGGAAAAACAGGTGCCTTGACACTTACATTTATAAGTTACTTTCCAAGAATACTTTAACAGTAGAATTCTACAGAGGCTTACATTAAATATTTAATAAAATGTTGCATCATACTATAAGGCTTATGCAGGTCTATTAATGCAGGTCTGACCTGAATGAAAACACTTTATTCTTCACTAGCGCTAATTGTTCATAATAACGTTCCGATTGGTCTGTGTACATTGTACTGCCTTTTTTTCTAGTTGAACAGCACTGAGGAACTTGTTGGAGCTCTATAAATGGCAGTAATAATCGTTATTTTAAATAAAAATAATAATAAAAAATAACACAATAGGGCACCATAACCACTACTGCTCTCTGTAGTGGTTAAGGGTCCAGCATTGCCCTGGTGCTCCTCCATTGTTAGTAGTCAAGCAGTTTCTATACAGCTTGACATTTTACCTGGTGTCCACCGAGCGCTGCTCCCCAACTCCACTATTAATGAGAACCAGAAGTTACTAAGCAGGAATTCATGGATTAGCTCTGGAATTTCAAAGGACAATTCTGGTTCTCTGGCCCTCGAAGTGGATGCAGGAAGTGGCACCAGAGGGCACCAGGTAAGAAGACAACTTTGAAAAAATGGTTTAAATACTTACATGGCACTGTGACACTCCTTGCACCATAGCCACTATAGCGCACTTTAGTGGGTACAGTGCTTAGAGTGTTCCTTTACAGGTGGAAAGACTCACACAGTCCTAGATTATCCACAGTAGGCATGTGCAGTACATTGCGATAACATAGAGGCAGTATCATCTAAAGACTTTAAAAGATTTTGAGACTTTGTCACCTCTTCCCTTTCACCTAAATTATTCCTTATGCCATTACACATCAGTAATTGCCATTATTTACTGATGTGTGTTTTGTCTAGATAGGGGGGGGAGAGTTTGGATAAGCAAGAAAGAAAAAAACAGGATCTATGACAAGATAACCTTGGGTTTTGTAATCTGAGCTGTGCCGTATAATTATGAAGAGTTTAGGTTAAGCACCTACAACAAAAGAGCCGCAATGAGCAAGAATAATTTTGCAGTTTAAATATCCTACAAAAGTAAAGAATGAAGGATTGCAGTGAACATTGCCTTTGTTTGGCTGTGGCAGACGCGAAGGAAGGGAAAACAACCATTTTTTTTGATTTATCAAAGCAAAACAGGTGCTTTTTTGGGTACAAAAAACGTAATTGTTGAGAGACATTCCACTGATTTCCATGCTGGTTTATCCTAATTCTATGCTTTGCCCCAGAATAAAACTTGTTTTTGCCATTAAGAAAAATCCTCCAGAAGGTTTCATTTTTATGAGAAATATTTGAAAAACAACATGCAGATTTTATCAATAACGTCTTTAGGGTAAATAAGTGACGTGAAGTGATACAGTCTTTTTGGCACTCTTAATTTCTTTATCTAACATTCTGGCCTAATTCATACACGTAAACAAAATGTATCTTCAAAACAATCTTGTCTGTTCTTTCCCCTAAGCTTTAACATTCCATTCATAATGTCTATATGTATATTTATCTGCATGTATATGACAGCTGCACAAACATACAAAACAAATATCCAGTTCAACAAAAATACAATGAGCGTGTACAAACTGAATCCGCTGGTATCCAGGACAAATGCTTAGGAATCAAATCTCCATATCATCTGTCTTTATGTTACTTCTTCATCTGTTGTCAAGTAGAAAGATATAAAATAATATATAAGCTACATGGGCAATAGAAGAATGCTCCCTCCCATACCCTAACCATTTACATGCATGCTTTTCATAATTGTAATAACTTGCAAATAAAATGATATTGTATCTTCTTCATCTTTAATTGTGTAATCCATTTCTAATGCCTTAACAATGGTCAACACAGAGGTTCATGCCAATTTACTAGAATCTGAAGCTGTTAAAATTTGTGTTGCTGTTGACGTGTCCGACCACTGAGGATCTAGGATTGTCGACTTCGCAGTCGCAACTCAATAATTTGCACAATCGGTGAGAGATAGTCCAGATGTTACTGGTTTAAGATGCTGACTGAGAGACAATAAGATGAACCTCTTTGCAGATGATGTCCTATCAACATTTTTTAATCCCCCGCATCTCTTTACCTAATCTTTAAGCACTTTTCCACCAATTTTCAAAATTTCCAGGGAATAAACTCAACCAATCAAAGTGCTGTTGCTTGAGTGTTGAGGGTTAGTAGAGGAAAACTTTAACATTTCTCTGATTCATTGTATTCTGGTGCTACACTAGTGATAAGGTGAATCGGATGATGGATGGAAAATGTCTATAAGCACATAAATATGCAGCTCAGCTGTTTTTTTTTTTTTATTTAAGATACCTGCTAAAGAGCAGGAAATTCTACAATATATCACTTGTCAGGCACATCTATGCTGCCTAAATGCTGATATTGCCCAAACTGCTTTATGTTTTTCACTGTCTCCCTGGAACTCTCATGAATGGAGTTATTTGGGATCTTTAGCACTGCACGATGACTTTTATCTGGGATATAAATGTGCACTTCTCGCTATCCATACTATGGCGAGGATTGTTACATGTGATGGACTCTCTGTCCCACCGTTATTACCATATTATCATGCAGCACAATTGTCGCAAAGGTTACAATGGAACTCTTTGCCCATACATTTTTGCTGGGTGGATATTGAGAATTCTGATTTAGCATTAATCCCACTTAAAATTCTCAATCCTCCCATTGTCGTGTACATCATGAAAATGTTGAGAACGGCTCTGCCAGCAACAACTCATTGTTTAATATCTAGAAGGCGACGCATTTGAGAGATGGTCATTCCCAGTAAACTCTGCCATGGTGCCAGTTAGAGGTGACCCTTCATGTCATGCATGCTATAGGACACAGTTTTGAGAAATTTAAGTGGTGGTCTGATCACGACTTTGTGATAGTTTGGGACATTGTTACTAATAGACGTGCCATTGCTAACCGAGACAGCTTTTGAGACCTCAAAGCATGCCTATTCCAGAGGAGTTACATTCGGGGGAAGGATGGTCCTACATATGTAATAACCTGTCTGCATTTTTAACCTCAAAATTGACCCCAAAGAGTCACTCACTCAGTTATACACTTCTCTCTACTAGAAATCCTTAAAGGGACACTACAGTCACCTGAACAACTTTAGCTTAATGAAGCAGTTTTGGTGTATAGAACATAACCCCTGCAGCCTCCCTTTGTTTTTTAACCCTAGTCACACCTCCCTGCATGTGACTTGCACTGCCTTCCATAAACACTTCCTGTAAAGAGAGCCCTATTTAGGCTTTCTTTATTGCAAGTTCTGTTTAATTAAGATTTTCTTATCCCCTGCTATGTTAATAGCTTGCTAGACATTGCTAGAGCCTCCTGTACGTGATTAAAGTTCAATTTAGAGACTGAGATACAATTATTTAAGGTAAATTACATCTGTTTGAAAGTGAAACCAGTTTTTTTTTTCATGCAGGCTCTGTCAATCATAGCCAGGGGAGGTGTGGCTAGGGCTGCATAAACAGGAACAAATTGATTTAACCCCTTAAGACCGGAGGGCGTACAATTACACCCTATTTTAGGCGGCTCTAAATGCCGCCGGGCGTAATTGTACGCCCTCCGGTCTTTTCTTACTTACCGCGGTAGATCCTCCTACTCCGGTGCCCCCCAGCCATGTGAGAGTGAGGTCCTTGCGAGGACACCACAATCACATGGCCGGGTAGGCTGCCTCCTGCATTGCCAGCAGGGGGGCTGCCTGTAATAACAGGTGGTCCCCCTGCTGGCTGAAAATAAAATTTAAATAAAATTAAAAAGTGTAAAAAATATATATATATATACTTAGATCATATATATTATATATATATATGAGTTAAGTATATATATACACATATACATACACACACATACACTGTCTAGGTGTATATTACTATTAATATATATAATTATATATATATATATATATATTAATATAAAATTACACGTAGACTGATACTGATGAAATATATATAATTATTGTTATATATATATATTTATATATAATATAAAAAAATAAATATGTAAATACGTTAACAAATAAAATTAAAAAAATTATTTTTAAAAATTATTAAAAAATATATAGATGTGTGTTATTTCGTTCTAACTGTATTGTGATATTAATATATATATATATTTATATCAAAATACACGTAGAACGAAATAATATATATATCTACATACATAAATATATACGTATATATCACTATATATATACCTATATATAAATAAAAATATTTTTAAAAATTATATATATATACACATATAGATTCACCTACGTATATATATACATATATTAATTCTACATATATATTTATGTAATATTTTTACATAATTAGGTATCTTAATTAATTACAATTAGCGGGACCTGCCTGACAACCCATGCCGAAAGTAAAGGAATTTAATTTGCTAGCACTATATTTAACCCTATAACTTTCCAAGACACCATAAAACCTGTACATGGGGGGTACTGTTCTACTCAGGAGACTTCGCTGAACACAAATATTAGTGTTTCAAAACAGTAAAATGTATTACAATGGTGATATTGCCAGTAAAAGTGCAGTTTTTTGCATTTTTCATGCACAAACAGCACTTACACGGACGATATTATTGCTGTGATACTTTTTGCTGTTTTGAAACACAAATATTTGTGTTCAGCGAAGTCTCCCGAGTACAACAGTACCCCTCATGTACAGGTTTTATGGTGTTTTCAAAAGTTACAGCATCAAATATAAGGCTTGCGTTTCATTTTTTTCACATTAAAATTCGCCAGATTGGTTACGGTGCCTTTGAGACCCTATGGTAGCCCAAGAATGAAAATTACCCCTATGATGGCATACCATTTGCAATAGTAGACAACCCAAGGTATTGCAAACGGGGTATGTCCAGTCTTTTTTAGTAGCCACTTAGTCACAAACACTGGCCAAAATTGGCGTTTTTTGCATTTTTCACACAAACAAATACTAACGCTAACTTTGGCCAGTGCTTGTGACCAAATGGCTACTAAAAAAAACTGGACATACCCCATTTGCAATACCTTGGGTTGTCTACTATTGCAAATAGTATGCCATTATGGGTGTAAATTTAATTCCTGGGCTACTATAAAGTCCAAAAGGCAACGTAATCAATCTGGCAAATTTCAATTTCAAATGTAACGTGCTATATTTGACCCTGTTACTTCCCAAAACGCCATGAAACCTGTACATAGGGGGTACTGTTTTACACGTGAGACTTTGCTGAATACAAATATGTGTATTTTATTGCAGTAAAAGTAAGCAGTATTAAGACATTGACAGTTAAAATGTCATGTAGAACTAAAAAAATCAAAAAAAATCTTATTTTCTCCAATTATTTTCACATTAAATTATGTTTCATAGCTAAATATTTGATATTAAATGAAAGCCCTATTTCCCCTGAATAAAATGATATATAATAAGGGTGGGTGCATTTAATATGAAAGAGGTGAATTACGGTTGGACAGACAAATGCCAGGTTTTGTTTACATTTTGTTTCGTTCACAATGTGTACATTTGGCTCAGTCCTTAAGGGGTTAACTCCTAGATGACAGTGAATTGAGCAGTGAAATTGCAGGGGAATGATCTATACACTAAAAACTGCTTTATTTAGCTAAAGTAATTTAGGTGACTATAGTGTTCCTTTAATAAGGGGAAACCTAAATATCAGATATGATGGGAAGAGGACTTGTGGGTGACTATTTCAGAAAAAGAATTGGCTAATCTATCAATGAACATCAATGAAGATCACTGCATGAACCACTGTTAACGAAAATACCTTTAGATGCGCTTCACACTGGTACCTCCAGTCCTGGGGAAAAGAAAATACACCCTCTTTGAATTCCATTGTTTTCCATATTGGGACATAATAACAACTATCTATTCCTTAGCAGGTGTTAAAATTAGGTAACTACAACCTCAGATGAACAACAACACGTGATATATTACATTGTGGCATGACTTATTTAACAAAAATAATGCCAAAATGGAGAAGCCATGTATGAAACATTAAGTACACCTTATGATTCAATAGCTTGTACAACCAACTGTAGCAGTATGACTTTATTAGTTTCTCACTTTGTGGTGGAATTTTTATCCGACCCTACTTTACAATGTTGCTTCAATTCATTGAGGTTTGCTGGTGTTTTTTTATGTACAGCTCTCTTAAGGTCCCGCCATAGCATTTCAATTGGGTTGAGGTCTGGACTTTGAGCGGCCATTGCACCACCTTTATTCTTTGCTTTTTCAGACATTCTGATGTTGACTTGTAGATTTTGCTTGTAATACATGCGCCATGTTATTATAGACCCTCTGTTCTTGCTATGACTACAACTCCGATGAGGAATCTTGGTCTCTCATTAACGCTGTTTTTCTCTTATGACTACATTGTTGTCGATGTTTTGTTAATTTTGCCTCTTCCTTTATGTTGTGGAACATTTTAATTAATGCATTGTTATGCTTCATCCTCAATAAAATAATTAAAATTACAAAATGTAGTATTGAAAAAAATTTAGATGAACAGAACATGACGAAGACCCTATTCAAATGATATTACAGAGTGCTCTATTTGTATTGCTACCATTCATGTCATTTAACACCATGCATCTTATAACGTCTCATCCCCATTTGTTTACCTTTTACCCATTCATAGACATCTGTCCCTTTTTTACTGCTGTTTTCTTGGTTTGCCCAATGGAAACAGCAGCAATCAATGCCTCTATCTGTGCAGAACGTTCGTCACACCTGCTTTGTGCTGCTTGCTGTGTTTATCTAATGTATGTACTGGCACACTGCTGCTGCTGAGTAATCAAGCTATTCTGAATAGGAAAAAGTACAAAGATGGGATTGTGATCGTATGCAAACTACTCCAAATAATGCATTTCGATATGTTGTACACATGATTTAGTACATACAGCTGCTCATGTATCACTGACATTCATTCACATCCATTTCAGGCAGTGGAGTTCTATTGCTGTGAAAATCAGATTTCAATAACACAAAGTGATTTTTAAAAAAGCTGTTCCAAGAGCATTTCACTGTACGATTACAACATAACTACTCCTGAGGATCAGTCTGTCTTTACATATCATACCACGTGGTTTACCTTGGTAACAGTATTTCCTTAGGGCTAAAGAATATATTGTTTTCTTCTTCAGAGCCAATGATTTTGAGATGTTAAGAAACACACATTAGCCATTGTTAACCTTCTACATATCAGGTTTAGATGAGTGGAACTACATGTTCTAACACAGTATTTGTCAAAGTAAAAACCAAATCCCCAAATAGTATATTTTTTTTCTTCGAATAAAAGCCAGTGTTTGAGCCTAAACATTGCTTGTAGGTTCTGAATAAATTGCACAGTGTCCCTATGCCTCTGCGCAAGCCCCCAACCCTTCTAATAAAGGGGTAATAAAAAACTTTTGACACTTACCTAATTCCAGCAGCACAGTCCCAAGGCACATTTGGGCTCTATCTACCCCAATGTTATGGCAATTAGGGCCTTCCCCATAGGGAATTTTCAAAATGCTGGACAATCTTGAGAATGTATTTGTATTCCTAACACTATAGTTTTTTTTGTTTTTTATTAAAGCTTACCTCTTTTCCATCCCAAAGACTAAGCTCTCCCATCAGTCCTATCCTGTTTGATTGACATCACTCCTCCTCACTGGAAGGGGAGGGCGGACCGAGCAAGGTCTTGCAGCAGCATGCTACCAATTTTGCACAGAATTGATATTAACCAGCCTGGAACACTTCTTCTCAATGACACTTGCAGAGGTGTTATTTCTAGAATGTGCAGTGGTTCAAAGCGCAATGCTGCATACATGCACTATAATCACTTCTAATCACTGAAGTGGTTTTGGTGCTTGGAGTTACCCTTTAACCATCAGGTGGAGATAAGGTTAGCAAAACCAAAATTAAAAAAAAGTTTACTTTGGAGAAGAGAATGCATGCAATGTGGAAAGTAAAGGGTTATGTTTTGTATTTACTCAGTGCAGGGGAGATGATAGAATCATTGCTCTGTGGGAAGTAAAGGGTTAAGCTTTGTATTTACACAGTGCTGTGGAGATGATGGAATCATTGCTCTGTGAGGAGTAAAGGGTTAAGTTTTGAATCTACACAGTGTTGCGGAGATAAGGAATCATTGCTCTGTGGGATGCAAAGGGTTAAGCTTTGCATTTACACAGTGTTAGGGAGATGATGGAATCATTGCTCTATGGAAAGTAAAGGGTTAAGCTTTGTATTTACACAGTGTTGGGGGGATAAGGAAACATTGCTCTGTGGGAAGTAAAGGGTTGAGCTTTGTATTTACACAGTGTTGGGGACATTATGGAATCATTGCTCTATGGGAAGTAAAGGGTTAAGCTTTGTATTTACACAGTGTTGGGGAGATAATGGAATCACTGCTTGGTGGGAAGTAAAAGGTTAAGCTTTGTATCTACACAGTGTTGTGATGATGGAATCATTGCTTTGTGGGAAGTAAAGGGTTAAGCTTTGTATCTACACAGTGTTGTGATGATAGAATCATTGCTCTGTGAGAAGTAAAGAGTTAAGCTTTTATTTACACAGTGCTGGGGAGATGAAGGAATCATTGCTCTGTGGGAAGTAAAGGGTAAAACTTTGTATTAACAGTGCTGTGGAGATGATGGAATCATTGCTCTGTGGGGAGTAAAGAGTTAAGCTTTGTATTTACACAGTGTTGGGGACATGATGGAATCATTGCTATGTGGGAAGTAAAGGGTTAAGTTTTGTATTTACACAGTGCTGGGGAGATGATGGAATCATTGCTCTGTGGGGAGTAAATGGTTATGGTTTGTATCTACACAGTGTTGGGGAGATCAGGAATCATTGCTCTGCGGGATGTAAAGGGTTAAGCTTTGTATTTACACAGTGCTGGGGAGATGATGGAATCATTTCTCTGTGGGAAGTAAAGGGTTAAGCTTTGTAGCTACACAGTGTTGGGGAGATGAAGGAATCATTGCTCTGTGGGAAGTAAAGGATTAAGCTGTGTATCTACATAGTAGTGTGATGATGGAATCATTGCTCTGTGAGAAGTAAAGGGTTAAGCTTTGTATTTACACAGTGTTAGGGAAATGATGGAATCATTGCTCTGTGGGGATTAAAGGGTTAAGTTTTGTATTTACACAGTGTTGGGGAGATGATGGAATCATTGCTCTGTGGGGAGTAAAGGGTTAACTTTTTTATTTACACGGTGTTGTGCTGATTGAATCATTGCTCTGTGGGAAGTAAAGGGTTACGCTTTGTATTTACACAGTGCTGGGGAGATGAAGGAAACATTGCTCTGTGGGAAGTAAAGGGTTAAGCTTTGTATCTACACAGTGTTGTGATGATGGAATAATTGCTCTGTGGGGAGTAAATGGTTACGTTTTGTATCTACACAGTGTTGGTGAGATCAGGAATCATTGCTCTGTGAGAAATAAAGGGTTAAGCTTTGTATTTATACAGCGCTGGAGAGATAATGGAATCATTGCTCTGTGGGAAGTAAAGGGTTAAGTTTTGCATTTACACAGTGTTGGGGACATGAAGGAATCATTGCTCTATGGAAAATAAAGGGTTAAGCTTTGTATTTACACAGTGCTGGGAGATAAGGAAACATTGCTCTGTGGGACGTAAAGGGTTACGTTTTGTATTTACACATTGTTGAAGTGGTGGAATCATTGCTCTGTGGGAAGTAAAGGGTTAAAATCTTTGTGTTTATACAGTGCTGGAGAGATAATGGAATCATTGCTCTGTGGGAAGTAAAGTGTTAAGTTTTGTATTTACACAGTGTTGGGGACATGAAGGAATCATTGCTCTATGGAAGGTAAAGGGTTAAGCTTTGTATTTACACAGTGCTGGTGAGATAAGGAAACATTGCTCTGTGGGACGTAAAGGGTTAAGTTTTGTATTTACACAGTGTTGAGATGGTGGAATCATTGCTCTGTGGGAAGTAAAGGGTTAAAATCTTTGTGTTTATACAGTGCTGGAGAGATAATGGAATCATTGTTCTGTGGGAAGTAAAGGGTTAAGTTTTGTATTTACACAGTGTTGAGGTGGTGGAATCATTGCTCTGTGGGAAGTAAAGGGTTAAAATCTTTGTGTTTCTATAGTGCTAGGGAGATGAAGGAATAATTGCTCTGTTGGAAGTAAAGGGTTAAGCTTTGTATTTACACAGTGTTGGGGACATGAAGGAATCATTGCTCTATGGAAAGTAAAGGGTTAAGCTTTGTATTTACACAGTGCTGGGGAGATAAGGAAACATTGCTCTGTGGGACATAAAGGGTTAAGTTTTGTATTTACACAGTGTTGAGATGGTGGAATCATTGCTCTGTGGGAAGTAAAGGGTTAAAATCTTTGTGTTTATACAGTGCTGGAGAGATAATTGAATCATTGCTCTGTGGGAAGTAAAGGGTTAAGTTTTGTATTTACACAGTGCTGGAGAGATAATGGAATCATTGCTCTGTGGGAAGTAAAGGGTTAAGTTTTGTATTTACACAGTGTTGAGGTGGTGGAATCATTGCTCTGTGGGAAGTAAAGGGTTAAAATCTTTGTGTTTATACAGTGCTGGAGAGATAATGGAATCATTGCTCTGTGGGAAGTAAAGGGTTAAAATATTTGTGTTTATATAGTGCTAGGGAGATTAAGGAATAATTGCTCTGTGAGAAGTAAAGGGTTAAGTTTTGTATTAATACAGTGTTGGGGAGATGGCAGAACAGACTCCGTAGGACAAAGCTCTGTGAGACTGAAATAAGTTGACGTGACGCAAAAAAACTACATCTCCCGGCACCCTTTGGGAGCATTTGATTGGCTAGTGGACGTGACGTCATGTGTTTTGGATCTGCAGGAGTCATGTGTTCCCTGCTCTTTGTTTTCAAGGAGACAAGATTCGGCAATCATAAGTTTGTGACTTGTCTGCTCCGGGGGGGAAGACATCTGAAACTTGAAACTGATCTAGTTCACCTACAATACCATATTCCTTTATTCCACTACTCATGTGAAAGCCATTATTTGCAGACATTCAGGTGAGTATTGACTTTATATCAATGTAGATCACTATATTTATTCATATTACTTTATTATTCAAACATGAGTAAAGTTATGGGGGTGTTTATGAGGCAGGGGTAATAGTGGTGGGTATAATGTTTATGACACATTGTCACAATGCAGAGTGTTTAATTTTACTTATTATTTCATATGTTCAAAAATCACTTATTAACTAAACAGTGAACAGTTTTAGACTAAAAATGGCAATTTCTTCTGTTCATTCTGTTCATTCTCTGTGTATGTTATCAATGAGACATAAACAACCAAGACTATGATCCATATTGCTTTGTACTGAAATCCTACTCTGTTGTACATTGGGGATATTCACTAAACACCACATTGGGCTCAGTTGCAACATTTAGGCTGAAATAGTTAAGCTTTGAATTTGTTGAATATGTCTAAATGATACAATTTAGCTTTCAGTCCACTGCAATGTGGTGTTTAATGAATCAACCTCACAGTCCTCTATCAAGTAAACATGAGAATCATACTTTGTGTGTTAACATGATTCTGCCACAAAGTGTGACGTGTAATCTTTACTTTCTTTGTGTTACCTTTTGTGCTTGAAGAAGGACATGCCAAGCAAAGCTATGTAAATAATGAAACAGAAGAACCCCTGACTGCTTGTTTTCTTTACCATTCTTAACCAACTTTGATATACAAATATTGGTAAAGCACTAACTGAATCCCTATGCCATTCAGAACGTTATTGAAGATGTATTAATGTTATTTAACTTATTGCACTATAGCAGTTACATGCTTTTTTTTTTTTAATGATTGCAGAGTATCATGGGAACTGTAGTCCACAGAAACTTTTATTATTATTTATTTATAAAGTGCCAACAAGTTCCGTAGCGCTGTACAATGGGCTGACTAACAGACAAGTATTTGTAACCAGAAGAGTTGGGCGCACAGGAACAGAGGGGTTGAGGGCCTTGCTCAAAGAGCTTACATTCTAGCAGTTAATTATCATTCGTAAGAAATTCACTGCACCTATAAGGAAGGGGCTAATGACTAATGGCCTGTGCTATTCTATATGGGATCACTTTTGACCATCCTTATGGGATCTTCCCTTTAACCATCAATTTGAGATCTTCTTCTTTTTTTTTTTTTTTTTTACCATGCATGCTAATGATAATCCATAGATTTATATGTTGATGAGGTTTATTGTGTCTATTTTTCGGCTTATAAAGGAGTTAAAAGGGAAGTGTAGACTGAGTATAGGGAAGATGCTTGGCTCTCAAAACCCTGGATCATTTTTCAAGCAGGTTGCAGCAATACATATCAAAAGTTTGTGAAACAACTTGTTTGTTAAGCAAGTGAAACCTGATTGACTGAGACAATCAATTATTAGATTTTTATTTTTAATTTTATTTTTTTTAATCCGTTGGGTGATTTCATCACAATGTTTTCCGATTAGCTGAAGTTTGAGACAAATTTGGCCTCTTTCACCTGCAGATAAATAGATAAGGAAACAGCTGCTTCTAGCAAGGCAGAGATTGCCCAATGTCCCAATCACGTGAGCCGGCTTCCAGTGTTTGTTTACATTGTATCTTGGCCTTTGGTTGCATCACAGAGGAGGGTAGGATGTCATGATTCTGATAAAGGCTATTTATTCTCCTCCAGCCTGAGGCTTAGTGCGACAATCACAATAAAAGATATGCGCAGTAAGCCAGCATTACACCTTTGTTTTTAGTATGACATTTGTATTTAAATTTATAATTTTGTTTTGCCATTTGTATAGGTTACACTGACTGTAGGTGAGGTAGTTAGTATCATACTTTCCAATGCTTTGTTTAACTGTATAAAGACTGAATTCATTTCATAATTCACATATGAACTGATGGGAATCTCAATACATTACAACTTCCCAACAGTGAACTTTAATTGTATCCTAGGTGATGCCTTTAATTCATAATGCAGTAACGGAATAGATGTATATTGGAGTATTAACACATTATTTAAAGATCTATTTACAAAGACATGTGCTTTCAAGGCAGGGCTAACTTGCCAAATGTGTCCCATCAGTGCTTTCTGTTTCACCCAACCTCCCTGACAACCAATGAGACTTTCATTTTGTTTTGATGCAGTGTGTGTACAGTGGATACAATGTGTGTGTGTGTGTAATGGATGCAGTGTCTGTGTTGTGGATTCATTGTGTATGTTTGTGTTGTTGGATAAGGGCTGTGGGGATGGGGGTGAGCAGTTTTTTTATTGATAATAAAGTTTATTCGCCACTTTCCTTGTCTCTTACATGTGGTCATTAGTTTCCCTGGTGGCACAGCATAGTTGTAAAGTGAAGAAGGGGCCCAGGAGTGTATTCTTCCACCTCAGGCTGGCAGGCATTAAATCCCCCTCCTCTCTTGTGAGCCCAGCATGCATTGCGTGCAGTGCGGTGAGTTGCCATTGGTCATGAGAGGACAATGTTGGAGTTTAGTGTCCTGGGCCCCCTCTTCATCGAAGAAGATATCAAGGCATGCAAATGTAGCAGCAGCTCACTCTCTCTCACATTCAGGGTATAGGACTATACTGGCTGCACCCCCATGATGGTGGCTCTGTTTATGAAATGGTCACATCGACTGTGTTGGAACTTCACTGAAATTCCAACACAGTCATAGAAACATAGAATGTGACGGCAGATAAGAACCATTCGGCCCATCTAGTCTGCCCAATTTTCTAAATACTTTCATTAGTCCCTGGCCTTATCTTATAGTTAGGATAGCCTTATGCCTATCCCACGCATGCTTAAACTCCTTTACTGTGTTAACCTCTACCACTTCAGCTGGAAGGCTATCCATGCATCCACTACCCTCTCAGTAAAGTAATACTTCCTGATATTATTTTTAAACCTTTGTCCCTCTAATTTAAGACTATGTCCTCTTGTTGTGGTAGTTTTTCTTCTTTTAAATATAGTCTCCTCCTTTACTGTGTTGATTCCCTTTATATATTTAAATGTTTCTATCATATCCCCCCTGTCTCGTCTTTCCTCCAAGCTATACATGTTTAGATCCTTTAACCTTTCCTGGTAAGTTTTATCCTGCAATCCATGAACCAGTTTAGTAGCCCTTCTCTGAACCCTCTCTAAGGTATCAATATCCTTCTCCATAAGATTCAGTCATAAGATATATACTAAAATGTGGAAAATAGAGACTACTTTGTCTAAGTACATTTCAAATGCTTGACAAAACTTAACAAAAGGCTACCACTATTATAAAGCTGTATTCCTAACACTATAGTTTTCTTCTGATTTCCACCCTCTTCTTCACTCCATCCCCCTGAGGCAGTCAAAGCATTAAATAACCCTTGAATTCACTCACCTTAATCCAGTACCTCCCTCCACACTGGCTTCCTCTCTGCTGTCAGTGCTGAGGGGGAAACTAGTGTTGCATGTTAAAACTGCAATGATTTGTAGTGTTGGGTTTTGGAGATCAGGACAGTCCCCCTAGACCACTTCAATTAAACGAAATAGTCTGGGTGCCTATAGTGTCCCTTTAAGTTTTGTCATTTTCTCATTTTCACCATGATGGCAGCCAAGAGGGACAAGCTCGGGTAAGTAAATCTCACTTTCTGCTGCACCCCTCGGTAACCGGACACACAGCAGAGCAGTCACCGTTGGATGAGGATGGTATCAGAGCCACTTTAAGTCTTTTACAATTCATAATTTCATGTTTACTGAATAACCTTAAAGGACCACTCTAGGCACCCAGACCACTTCAGCTTAATGAAGTGGTCTGGGTGCCAGGTCCTTCTAGGGTTAACCCATTGTTTCAGAGAAACTGCTATAATTATGAATGGGTTAAGCCTTACCCCAAAGCCTCTAGTGGCTGTCTCATTGACAGCCACTAGAGGCGCTTGCGTGCTTCTCACTGTGAAAATCACAGTGAGAGCACGCCAGCGTCCATAGGAAAGCATTGTAAATGCTTTCCTATGAGACTTGACTGAATCTGTGGCGCGCAGCTCTTTGCCGCATTCAGCCCGGTGAGCGGGAGGAGAGGAGGAGGAGAGCTCTCCCAGCGCTGGAAAAGGTAAGTTTAAACCCCTTTCCCCCTTCCAGAGCCGGGCGGGAGGGGGACCCTGAGGGTGGGGGCACCCTCAGGGCACTATAGTGCCAGGAAAACGAGTATGTTTTCCTGGCACTATAGTGGTCCTTTAAAAGTGGTTTTTTTTTGTTTTGTTTGTTTTTTGGGGGGATTTGGAGCAATACACTTATTTGTATGATGCGCCATTCCTAGAAAGCTATCAACCACCACATGAAACAATTTACATCAGTGGCACATAACATATATATGCTGTGTGTCCTCTTTTACTTTTATGTTCCAAATAGTAAAATAATCAATACTGTTTGTAGATTTTAGAAAATAACTGTTTTTTTTTTTTTTTGTATGCAATGTGAAATAATAACAGCAAAGGTTAGAATGTGTATCTAAAGACTGTTTTCATTGTTGATCTTTTATTTTTCCAGTCATCAAATTAAAATCTTGATTGCAAACCCCTTAGGATAGTAGCACATTGCGCAATTCCTGTCAGCAGTCCATAACAGGAAGATTAGTGGTGTATGTTTTGGGACCGTGGATTGCATCCACAACCATGTTAGCATGAAACAGCTACATGTCTAAACTTTGGCCCTCATACTATCTTCTGTTGTTTACCACAGATCTGTTGGGCTTTTTTTTTTTTTTTTCCTGAAAATTTTCTTGGAAATTGTTTTGGCCGTTTTAAACGTTGGCCTCTGCCTTGTAGCTTCAGTGAATCACATCTAGAAAAACGTTCATTAAAAAAACTAACAATAAAAGCACTGTATAGTGCCTTTAATAATGCTTTTCTAAAATGTGATCTCTGTTTTCAGATAAGTACACTGCAGTAATGTCTAATGATCGGATAATAGTAAAGTAAGCCATATGGCGTATTGTTTTGTGTTTAAAAAAAAAAAAAGCCCTCACACCTGTTCTCATCTTTACCGTTCATGTTTAACCCATTAAAGTCACAAACCTATTGGATGTCACTCTAGAATATATTTGGACAACACATATGGTGTACATTGAATTATTGATATTACAAATTTTCTGCAGATTCTACTGGTGTCTTCCAGCAGTAACTTGTGTTTTGTTTTTTCCTTTTTTTTTTTCCTTCTGTTTATACATCTGTTACTGTCTATAAATCAAAACCTCAAAAACTGACCTCACTGCAACGTGTGTTTTTATGGTTATGTGTATATATTTGCATTTTATTACGAACTAGGCTGAGCTCGCATGCGATTGTTTAGGAGGTGGATTAACGTTCTGCTTTCCAGAAGGCCAGGTGTTCACTAGGGTCATAGACAGAATGGCTCTCTCTGGGGTTTCTGCTTCCAGAACTTATTTTTTTATTTTTTGTTCGTTTAATGCCTTTTTACTTCCTTTCTTTGTGTCTCAGGCTTGGTGCCAACACCGTTTGGCCGTAGGCTATTTAAAGAAAGCGTTTTGCTGTTTTCTTTTTGTTTTGTTTTTTTTCTTCTTCTTTGTGACGTGAGCCTTCTCCTGACTCTGTTTTGCATTCTTACTTCGTAACTCTTAACTCACTTTCACAGAATTGGAAAGAACAATTTGCTTTTTCAACTTTTGGCTCAAGAAGGAAGCAGGCTTCTAAAAATGCTGCCTCGTCACAATGTTGTTTAATTTCTAGATGTTTACAAGATGCGTATTATCTTAAAGGCACATTGCAGTGCGCTTAACCAACAACTGTGAAGCTCTAAGCCAAGCAAACCTGGAGTACTTGCTTTATGAAACCACAGCTTTGTTAGAACAGAATGATTTGTAGATTCTTATTTACTTTCTGTATCATTTGATTCCCTCACCCTTCCCTTCGCGGAATATTCAGAGTATTTGAGGACAGACTTAGTTCAGATCCTCAGACTCCTCCCAGCATGATCCAGACAAGTAAGATCCGTGATGACACGTTGGCCTGCTTCAGATGAGGATTAGGCATCGTCTTTTTGTTTCCAGGGAGCCATGTTGAAGCCGTTTATTTATTATTTAAGCCTGCTTTTCATTTTAATTTGAGTATAACGTGTTATCACAAATCACTAACAGAATTTATGCAAATAAAATATTATGTTTCGGTTCTGTTGCTGTGTGTTTGTAATCAACTGAAGAGCTTGGAATCTTAATAACGCACATTAATATCAGTTTGAATGCTGTGGTTATTTTCTTTTCTTTAACAAAGGTGTTTCTGTTGGTTCTAAAGAAATAATCAACATCAGTTAGTGCCTCGGGGTTAGGAGTGGGATGAAGATGATCAAGGCAATTTTATAGACACCTGGTGTGTTAAAGTCTTTCTAATCAAGTTTACACTGTACAAAATATAGGTAATTTGAATGTCTCTCCTATATGAGACAGAAACCTGAATGCATCCAGTAATCGTAAATGAATGTTATAGAGCAGGGGTAGGCAACCTTCTCCACTTCAGATATTGTGGACTACATCTCCAATAATGCTCTTACAGCCATAATGATGACAAAGCATCAAGGGAGATGTAGTCCACATCTGTAGTGCGTACGATTGCCTACTCCTGTTTATAGAGGGTTTAGTGAGAAGCCCAGTCGTTGAGTAGGATATTAGTGTGGACAAACCTGGTTTTCCTAATCAGGAATACAAAATTGTGCTTGTCTGAATGACAACCAGGGAAGAGGAGCTCCATGTTCCAATTAAAAGCTCATTATCCTGGTAGAAATTGAAACTGTTGGACTTCATGGACAGGGTCCTTGCACCAAGCCTGTGAATACGTGCTTGAGTAAGGTCCTCACAATGTTATTTTGATATATTTGTGTGCAGTATTTTCTATATCCTCATCATGAAATATTTTTGTAATGTATATTTAATAAAATAAAAACTTGTTATCCTTGAAGTATTGGTTTTCACATGTCCTTGCACCATAACTTCTTCAACTAGCTCAATTGGTTTTTAGTTACTCTAGGATTTAGTAAACCTTATTACTATTAACTGTGCGTCACGCAAAAAAAATATGAAGGGGTCCTGACAGTGCGCAATGCAGGACCTTTAACATCTGCACATTTGTTCCGAGGATGCTTTAAAGTCTCTAGAGCAGTTGTTTCCAACCCAATTCTCAAGACATGTCAGTATTCCAGAACTTGGGTATTTCATAATTCTGTGGAGATAGTGAGAAAACCTGGATCATCGTTGTGCTTTGAGGACCGGTTGGAAAATACTGCTCTAGGGTTTGAAGTATAGAATGGCATTTAGTATTATGCACTAAAGTGGAACTTATGGGAAATTGACAAAAGGAGTGCAAATTGTAGGGTAAAACCCCAAATTTTTTCCAATTTGGCTAATTTTTCAAATTGCTATTTTATACTAAAATATGTTACTCCCTTGTAAATTCTCCACAATTTTTGGTTTAGTGAATAATTTACATTTGTTTACTGTATTGTGTATTTTCATGCATAAGAAAGTATTCTATAGGTTCTTCTTAGGGTCCCTGTGCCCTATTTCCCTGAAATGCCAAAGTTCCTGTCCTATCGCTTCTCACCCCAACCTTCCTTTGACTTTTCTCCGGTTTTCTGTTTTCCCATTAACCCTACAGTGTGAAGTTGTAAAGGTGATCTGTTTAAACCTATGTATGGCTTGGCTATATAACGTCATAAAATCTTCAGCCCCGGTTACCCTATAGATATCTGTAGTTTTTTATGCACTGGAAGAATTGACAAAAGCAAAGAGGAAAACTGCTGTCCCTTGCGGCTGGAAAACGGTTAATCTACCCTTGTTTACCCTCCTCTACAATACCTGTTCTGCATCAGGTATTGTAAATATTATTTAGGAGTTGCTGCAGGGTGTTTTGTGAAATGGTTTGACAGAACAAAGATGTGTTCTATAACTAGCTGTTGGCTTTCGTGCTGTTAAATAGGCTTATGAGCAAAACAAAGGTTGCCTTCAAAAATAAACATACAAGTTTAAAACAACATGACGAAACTCATATAGGGCTAGGTGAGAATTCAAGGTGAACTTCAAAGTGAATTTCTAATTAAGGGTCAGAATGGAAAAGATCACAATGTCGACTGTGATTTCAGTTTGGCTACTCTGGCCTTCAATTTTAAAATTCACTTTAAATTCACCTTGAATACTCCCTGTAGCAAAAAGGCCTGAAGGTCATGCAACATCTTCTCTGGGTGCGAGCATTGAGTCGCCTTCTGAATACCGAGTTCTCTTTCACACCTTTCACACTTTTTTGACTATTTATTTTTACTGAGTATACAAAATTTTCATTGAACTATGCATGCCTGGAAACAGATGAATGAGACGAACCCCGATGTTTAGAAAATATCAACCCTAGAATAGACTACTTGCCTACTGGATGTAGTTATATAAAAAAAAAAACGATGCCAGGATATTGAGCCCAGGCAAATTATGTCATGGATCCTCACTCCCGCTTGTGTGAATTCTAAGGGCTGTTTGAATGCATTTTCTTGTTCTAAAAGTTGATTGATTCGTCTCTCACACCTTCACTAAAGCAGTGACTGGTAGGAAAATATTTTTTTCTGCTCCACTAAGTGCACAGGGGCTGCTTTATCTTTCTAGCACTGTGAAGGTTGAAGAAAAAGCTGGCAGCAGCAACTTCAACCTCCACTGGGGTGAGAGAGATCAACAGTGAGTTCCTCTCTCTCTTCCTGGATGCACAGGGATACTTGAAGTTCTATAAGTGTTAATCACAGTGAATGTAGTATTATGTTGGGCCCCTACACAATGCTTACGTATGCTCGGATTACAGCCTGCCTGGGAAGGTAGCAAATCAGGACTATTTAAATGAGCACACCTGAAGGACTTGTGTATATGCTGAAATGCCCTGTATTTAATTCCCAGGACAACTCAAACATGTTTAAACATGTGCTCAACCTACACTTTGACCCAGTCACCCCAACACAGAGCAATTCTGGTGATTGAGAGGACTGTTTTCAAATCATGTGTCATACAAGAGCACGTGACATTGAAAACAATATAATGACCTTGGAAATATCAGAGATACTATATACTACTCTTTCATCTTCCTGTGGTCAAAAGCGTATTTGTACAATGCAGAATATGTCAATATTTTTATTTTATCTTACACAACTGATATATTGTATGCACTCACAACAGAATATTTACTATATGTGGGAAATTTAGGTAGACTGCTTATGTTTGCTGTCATTTTAGACTCTTCAATCCTAAAACTAACATAAGTTTAGTGTAGTTTAAACAGAAAATATATTCTTTCCCATAAGTGGAATTCTGTCTTCTATCAGTTTGTCTTTTGTTAGTATTCACAGCAGCTGTCTACCCCCACATAAAAAAAAAAAATAAATAAAAAAAAGTTGTGGTAAAAATGTGGACATTTTTCTTTTGGCCTATAGGAGGCGCACCAATGAGTAAATCGTGAATATACACCAGGTAGACAGGCCAGCCTGACTCTCTGACCTGCATACACACATTTATCACCTGAATGTCCTGAATGCAGTATGAACTGAGCAAGCAAGTATAACTTTGCACTGTACTTTCTGTGCACTTGTTATCTGTGTTACCACGGCAACGCTCTGATTGTCAAGGGATCGCGAGACACTTCAGTCTGCAGCTCACACCCGGCAGAGCTGCAGAGTGAAGGCTGTCTCTCCGGGCGGACTGGAGGGGCCGCGCACTCGGCAGCATAAAGGGCAAACAGCCGGATCCCCCCTGATGTCGGGTCCTCGGTCATGGGCCGAGGACCCAACTTGTATGTCTGCCCTAAGGCGATTTAGGAGGCCGCAAAGCCTTAGGCGGCCGCCTAAATCACCTAATCAGAGAGCCACCTCTGCCTAGACATAATTGTCATTTTTTTTCTTCCTGGGTGTCAGTAATCTGTAAATGAAGAAATTACTCCTCATACATAAATTAAACTATAATTTTATCCCTCACCTTAACTCTAAATGTCCCATGTCCCAGTGCAGTAGTGACGCCCCTATCGGTAAACTGCATGTTAGTTAGTTTACTTACCTTGCAGGGCCTACCTCGCTGAGCAGCCTACTCAGACACCGGGATCCCGATGGAGGATGAGTTCCGATGACTGTCGAGCTGTGAGGGGAAACACATTCTGATTAAAAAAAAACATAATTTGACAGAACACGGACAGGGCTGTGTACGCAGACCCACTAACATACAGTAAAACTGGCCAACTGGGCAGAGACACAGTAAAATGAAGGATGGGATTGGGATTGCATCCAGACAGCAACATCCTCTGCACAGCTATTGTTCATGCACTACTGTGCCATGCCTAGCTGTCGGGGCCCAGTGCAGACCACATTGACTACATCTGATCCATTCCATTAGGCAGTATAAGGGCGCAGTGTCCTTGTGCTCTCTGCACCTGTCCTGTGCGTGGGGACAGCACATGTGGGAGGGTCCAAGGATGCAGAAAGGTTGTGGGCCATGGCAGCACAGAACCTGGTAGGCAGCACGTGCCACAGGGCAGGGCCTGCGGAAACAGAGTGGGAGGGAGGAGAAGGTATCCCAAGCTCACTGTCTGTATAGCCTGCTGTGCTCCCAATGCTGCCCCATAGCAGTAACTAGCTGACAGGAAGAACACTGGGAATTGCTAACTAAAAGCCACAGTCCTCCATCAAGGTGGTAATAAGTTACCAGCATGCATTGAGTGGCAGTGAATGTTGTATGCCAGTAAAGTTGTGTGTAATGTGCTTGTGTCTGTATGCGTAAGCTTGTGTGTATGTCAGTGAGCTTGTGTCTGCATGTGTATGTCCATGAACTGGGGTGTATAGAGAGCTTGTGTTTGTATGTAACCGTGAGCTTGTCTGTGCTGAGATTGCGTGTGTGTGTGTGTGTGTGCGTACATAGAAGTGTCTGTAGTGATATTGTGTATGTTTCTTGTAGCATGTGTGTATGTTTCGGATCATATGGGATATTTTTTTTTTTTTTATGTTTACATTGCAGTGTTAACACTGCTTCTAGTGGCTGCTTACCAGACAGCCATTACAGCCTCTTTTAGCAGTTTTATGGAGCTTGAAAATTCCCATAGGAAAGTATTGATTTAATGCTCTCCTATGGGAAAAGCCTAATGAACCCTTGCCGCGCATGGGCATTAGGTTCACCCTAGTCGGCTGATGTCGGCGAAGGGGATGTTAATCCCGATGCTGGAATTGGGCAAGCGTAAAAATAGTTTTACAATTTATTTATTTAACACGGGGAGGAGAATTAAAGAGGGGGCAGAGAGCTCTAGTGCCTTACAGTATAGTTTTGTATTCCTGACACTATAGTTTTCCTTTAACCCAGGATTGTTGAGAGGCATAATGTTAGTCACTCTTTCATTTACTATAAAGGATTAATAGTGATCTGATAGTGAAACGTGTGTTAGGCATTTTATTTAGTCCAATAGAAATGTTATTTTGAGAGAGACACGGAAAGGATAGCTCAGGACTGTATATTCAGCTGAAAAAAAATGTGATTTACAGAGAGACAAACCGCTCTCCTTATATCTGGGACACAGCAATTGATATGCTTTTTGCTTCTAGCTGATCTGGGTAGCCGGCAACCCAGGGCTTTAACCTGTCACATGCTTTAGCCTGTCATTTGTCTCTATTCATGATACTTGGTCAAATCACTTAATATATTGGTTGGTTAGCCACAATGCTACATGGGGACTTAAAGGGACTCTCCAGTGCCAGGAAAACATATCCATTTTCCTGGCACCACAGGACCCTGTAGTGCCCCTCTCCCTCCCACCCCATACTGCTGAAAGGGTTAAAACACCTTCAGCTACTTACCTGAATCCAGCGCCAATGTCCCTCGGCACTGGGTCAGGCTCTGCCCGCGCTCCTCCCCTGCCGACGTCAGCTGGCGGGGTAGACCTAAAGCGCATGCGTAGCAATGGCCGTGCACATTAGACCTCCCCATAGGAAAGCATTATTCAATGTTTTCCTATGGGGATTCCGGCGACGCTGTAGGTTCTCATGCATAGCGTGAGGACGTCCAGCGTCATTTAAAAGAACACGGAAGTCCCTCTAGTGGCTGTCTACCAGACAGCCACTAGAGGAGGACTTAACCCTGAAAGGTAATTATTACAGATTATAAAAACTGCAATAACAACACTTGCAGGGTTAAGGGTGGTGGGAGTTGGCACCCAGACCACTTTAATGGGCAGAAGTGGTCTGGGTGCCTGGAGTGTCCCTTTAATCAACCAGCAGCCCAAACAGGTTTATAGTCTTCCTTATATGAGCAAATGGATAGCCTTTCGGCAAGTGGATACATTGTAGCTTCAGTAAACATTTCATCCTTGAGAGGAGGGCTATAGCCAAGCTCAATAGAAAAGCAGTTTGCAACAGGTTGAAACAATGTTTTATTTGAGTTGTTTAACTTTACAGTATATTAGCAGAATTGGCAGTCTTATTCAGCACAATTTCATCAATGTGAAACTACACAGGGAATGTTCGGTTTATGGACAGAATTAGTGTTTTCCCTTTTAAACGTACAGTGTCCTAAATAGACACGTTTCTATCGACATACATTCTAATGGTAAATGTAGGTTCATTTTCTGAATTCATCTTTAATCTTTATTTTCTTAGTATAGGGGCACCACCATTTCATATGAGAATTTTGGTACTGCTTAGGTTCCATTGTCATATGTGCTAGGGGTGTAACTAGCTACCGGCACAAAAGTACAGATTTCTGTATGTGTAACGTACATGAACTTTAATCACTTTAATATGGGAAGCCTTAATTAAGGTAGACCATGTGGAAGTGCTCCGGCACTGCTTTGCCATGGACGTAGTGTCCTTAGTTTACTGAGCACAACCCAAATGTGTATAATTTTATGTGCACACTATAAAGATTGGGGGTATTTTTTTCACAAGGTTTTTCTAAGTAAATTTAAAATTCAAGGCAAGAGTAGCCAGACTGAAAGCATAGCTGAATTGTTCCAGTTCAACTACTTTGGCCTTAAATCTGAATTTCACTCTCCTCAGTGTCCTTAGATGTGGCATATAAGGGAACTAAAACAGGACCAGTGGCGTACATACCAGGGTCGCAGGGGTCGCGGCTGCGACCGGGCCCGGGCCTCCAGGGGGCCCGGCCGCCCCTGCGACCCGGTATGTAGCCACTGGGCCAGCCTCTTCTCCTGGGGGGCCCAGGAGCCGACCACCCCAGGGCCCCCCGAGGCTGGCCCTGCTGACACCGGGCAGGCGGGTGGCCGGTTGGGCAGGCGGGCGCGCGAGGGAGCACTCAGTGCTTCCTCTTCAGCTCCCTCGCGCACCGCACTGATACCGGAGCCGGAAGATGACGTCATCTTCCGGCTCCGGCATCCCTGCGTGGCGCGCAAGGGAGCTGAAGAGGAAGCACTGAGTGCTCCCTCGTGCGTCCGCCTGCCCGACCGGCCACCCGCCCAGGAGCCCAGCTGCAGCACCACTGGACCCCAGGGAATCCCCCCAGCACTCTAAAAGGTAAGGAGGCTGGGGGGATTATATTAAAAAAAAAATAGAGTGTTAGAGTGAGTGTTAGAGTGAGTGTTAGAGTGAGTGTTAGAGTGAGTGTTAGTGTGTGTGTCTGCTAGTGAGCGTTAGTGTGAGTGTTAGAGTGAGTGTTAGAGTGAGTGTTAGAGTGAGTGTCTGCTAGTGAGTGTTAGTGTGTGTGTTAGAGTGAGTGTTAGTGTGTGTGTCTGCTAGTGAGTGTTAGTGTGAGTGTTAGTGTGTGTGTCTGCTAGTGAGTGTCAGTGAGTGTGTTACTGTGTGTGTCTTACTGAGTGTGTGTGTTAGTGAGTCTATTTGATGTCTGTTAGTGAGTGTGTGTTTGTCAATGAGAGTGTATGTTTTGTGAGTGTGTATGTATGTCTGTCGCTGACTGTGTCTCTGTCAGTAAATGTGTGTGTCTGTTAGCTAGTGTGTATCGTCTGTAAGTGTGTGTGTGTGTGTCTTCAGCACTTACCTTTCTCCAGCGCCGGGCTCCCTTGGCGCTGAGGATCCCTCAGCCTCTCAGCTCCGAATGTGACCGCGCACGCATTCAAACAGCCCATAGGAAAGCATTACTCAATACTTTCTTATGGACGTTCAGTGTGCTCCTCTAGCGGCTGTCAGTGAGACAGCCACTAGAGGCTGGATTAACCCTCAGTGAAACATAGCAGTTTTTCTGAAACTGCTATGTTTTCAGCTGCAGGGTTAAAACTAGAGGGACCTCGGATCAATTTTCGCACCGGGGCCCCATGGATCATGTGTACGCCACTGAACAGGACAGAACCTCAAATTCAAGACGGTCCCAATGGAACCAAAACAATTGAGAGTTATGATCTTATTAACTTGCAGTTACACTACTGAAGTAACATTTCTCATTAAACAACACCCTAACACACTATATTTAATTTACAGTAACTAATAGTTTGTTCTGAGTTTTCAGATCTGTTCTAACCTAAACAAATAACCAAGTGTTTTCTACTACAAGCTGGGCCAAAATTCAGAATTAGATTTGACAGGTAAATACATTATCTGGTAGTAGTTATGTTTTTGTTGCAGGTATATATTATAACTAATCTTGGGAGATTCATCATGGGTAACTTCACAAAGGAACAAGTTAAAATAGTGGAATTAAATATTCAAAATGGCAGGTCCATTATTTTGACACAAAGAGCTTACCGCCACCACTTCAATGTAAGCCACCATGTTCGCCCGACCTTTCATTTCCTGAATACATCCTGTGGGGATATCTGAAGGAGCGCGTGTACATGAACGAACCGTATTCACTTGAGCAGTTCAAGAAGAACATTCTTGCAGAAATTTGAACGCTAGAGCCTCAAACACTAATGCTATGAACAATGCAGTTAAAAGAGCTGATTTTGCGAGACGGTGTTCTATGCCGTTCCGCATTAAAAGGGCTGTAAAGCCGTTGCGGCGGCATAGAACGCCGTAACGGCTTTCAGCCCCTGGAGGTCCGGTGGACTTACCTCCGCCGCGATCCTCTTCTGGAGGGCTGCCTGACAGCCCAGGCACCCCTCCCCCGGCAAATGAGGCCCCCGGGATCTGCCAGCAGGGGGACTGTCTGAAATGTCAGACAGTCCCACTGCTGGTGGGAAAGTAAAAAAAAAAAAAAATTTAAAATAAATGTATTTTTATATATATATATATATATATATATATATATATATATATATATATATATATATATATATATATATATATATATATATATATATGTGTATATATATATATATGTATATCTTTTATATATAATATTATATATATGTAACGTCATACAAAGTGTATTTTAATATTAATATAAGTACATATATTAGTATTAAAATACACTTAGAATGATGTTACATATATATTATATATATAATAGATATATACACATATATTTTTTATATATATATGTATAATTACAATAATAAATAAAATATTGAAACAAAATTTAATATAAATTATATATTCATATGTAATTTCATTCGAACTGTATTTTGTTATTTATATATATATATATATATATATATATATATTGGTAACAAAGTACACTTAGAATGACATTCTATATATATATATATATATATATATATATATATATATATATAAAATACAAATAACCGCAAATATATATATATATAGATAAATACATATAATTACATAAAAGATTACATTAGTATACACGTAGAATTTAAATACTTATAAATGCATATATATTAAAATTCTATGTGTATATTTAAGTAATCTTTTAACATAATTATGTGATTTGATTAATTAAAATTTGATTGACATGCCTGACAACACAGGGAGAAAGTGCAGAGAATTTAATTCGCAATATATTTGACCCTTTAACTCTCCAAGACACCATAAAACCCGTACATAGGGGGTACTGTTTTACTCGGGAGACTTCGCTGAACTCAAATATTAGTGTTTCAAAATGATAAATTGTATTACAACGATGATATTTTAAGTAAAATTTATGTTTTTTGCATTTTTTTTACAAACAATGGCACTTTTATGGACTATATTATTGTTGTAATATGTTTTACTGTTTTAAAACACTAATATTTGTGCTTAGTGAAGTCTCCCGAGAATAACAGTACCCCCCAGGTACAGGTTTTATGGTGTTTTGGAAAGTTAGAGAGTCACATATAAGGCTTGCATTTCATTTTTTTGACATTGAAATATGCCAGATTGGTTATGTTGCCTTTGAGAGTGTATGGTAGCCCAGGAATGAGAATTACCCCCATGATTGCATACCATTTGCAAAAGTAGACACCCCACTTGCAATACCTTGGGTTATGTCCAGTCTTTCTTAGTAGCCACTTAGTCACAAACACTGGCCAAATATTAGTTTTTTGCTTTTTTTCACACAAAAACAAATATGAACGCTAACTTTGGCCAGTGTTTGTGACTGTGGCTACTAACAAAAAGACTAAACATACCCCACTTTCAATACCTTGGGTTGTCTACTTTTTCAAATGGTATGCCATTATGGGGGTAATTCTCATTCCTGGGCTACCACACCATCTCATAGGTAACATTACTAATTTGGCAAATTTCAATTTGAAAATGGAACGTTCTATATTTTACCCTGTAACTTTCCAAAACACCATAAAACCTGTTAATCGCTGATTACAAATATGTGCATTTTCTTGCAGTAAAACCTTACAGTATTATGACATTAACAGCTAAAATGTCAGACGGAAATACAAATTAAAGATTTTTCTCAAATTTTTTTAAATTTTATTCATAATAAATTATGTTCCATATATGAATAGTTAATGATAAATTAAAGCCCTGTTTCTCCTGAATAAAATGATATATAATAAGTGTGGGTGCACTGCAGCGGTGAATTACGGTTGAACAGACATATAGCGCAAATTCCAGTTTTTGTTTACATTTTGTTTTGATCAGAACGTGTACTATTGACTCCATCCTGAAGGGGTTAATCATTTATTATTGAATGAATGTAATATCATTGAAATTGGTTCATTAATAAAAAGTGATTGACTCCTCAAACCTTGCTCTGAGTTTTGACCCACCCTGTAGTTTAGTTTAATATTAGTAGTTTTGTTAAAGCTGCATAAAACAACGTAGCAAACACCGCAATGAAGCATGCATTAACTATACCTGAATATTTCATATGTGTTTACATTTACAGATGTTTATAGGTCACTATAAATGTGAGATAAACAGTTTTGCCCATATATAAAATGACAAAATAACAGATATTATTAAAGATTAGGTCTAGTCACAGCCACTACTGTTATATACATGGCTCACATAATAAAATGTAAAAGCATCTACTTGCTACAACTGCATACACACATACACCACCCCAGGAAATTCTTAAACAGGATTTACTCTGAGATAGAATAGAACTGGCACCAGCAAGTGTTGCTCTTTAAAACCTGAAAGGGGGGCATAGCTGCAATCACATTAAAAAGATACTACAGACCCCTAAAGCACTTTAGCTTTGAGTGTGTTCTCTTTTTTTCATTCTTCAAAAGTGCACATTTCAGTAGAAATTGGCACTTTTATAAACTAGTCTTGTTACACCCCCAAGTTGTCAATCAGACAACCTGTCCTATTACTTCCTGGTTTGGTTAACTCAGTGGAACTAAACTCAAGAGGCAGCAATTGCTCAGAGCACCTGCCTTGCAAACACTTCTCATGGAGCTGCATTGGGAAGTCTGTGATTGGACAGCCACAGAAAGTCTGGGCGGGGTTAGAAGAGGAGAGCTTGCAAATGCTACAGACAAGAGATCTGGAGCATTTGCAGGCTCTTTTTACATATCCCCAGATGGGGGAAAAAAATGCATAATTAAATGAATGCATGTTTTTATTGGCAGTTCATAAACTGCACTACTGCCATTACCAGTACAATGGATCACACTTTGCAAACTGAAGACTTTGTGTATTGCAGTATGTATTTTAATATTCATTTAATTTAATTTTACAAATATGCCACTGAGCTATTTTTTATATTTGAAAAAGGGATTGTCAAATGTCAAGCTAATGTTGTGTAATTCATTTTTGTTCCTGTCAATAAAATGTTCATAAACACAGATTTTAGATCTATTGTACAACCCGAGGGAGATCAGGACTTTGCCCACACATGTCCTCCTAATTAATGTATCTTTCCTTCAGTCACAGACTTGATGAAACCAGGTGTGTGGTACAAATTTAAGAAAGAAGAATGTGGGAAAAAGTATTGGTTAGCTAAAATAATGTGGGTAGTTCTGCCTGTCAGGTGGAAATAATACTTTAGTAGAGTATTACATCATCTAAAAAGTTCTATCCTGAAAGGAACACTCATAAATGATGAGCTAAGCCATGCATTGGTAGTGGAGGCAGGAACGGCGTCCCATTGACCCCAGGTAAGAAGTTAAATTGTTGAAAAACGGTTTGACTCTTTACTGTGGGGAGGCACCAGGGCACTCCTGGCACAACAACCAAAAAAAAGATATAGTGATTATTCCAACTCTCTTCTTGACCCTCTTCAATCTGGCCCTTTCCACTCTACTGAGACTGCTCTTATCAAAGTTACTAGCACCCTAATCACAGCTAAATCCAAAGGCCACTACTCCATACTAATTCTTCTTGACCTCTCTGCTGCCTTTGACACCATTGATCATGCTCTCCTACTTTAAACTCCTCAATCACTCAGTCTCTGTGACTCTGTCCTCTCGTGGTTTTTCTCTTATTTCTCCCAATGCTCATTTAGTGTCTCCTTTTCTAATGATTCCTCCTCCCCTCGTCCTGTCTTGGTTGGTGTTCCCCAAGGCACGGTCCTTGATCCCCTTCTATTTCCTCTTTGTACTACCTCTCTTGGCATACGTATTACCTCATTTGGATTCCACTACCACCTGTACGCTGATGACATCCAGATATATCTCTCCTCCACGGACCTCTCCCCAGCTGACCTGCAACGTGTCACTGCTTGCCTTTCTTCCATCTCTGACTGGATGTCCTCACGCTTTCTGAAACTCCATCTCTCTAAAACTGACCTCCTTGTCTTTTCTCCTCCTAATCCTGATCCTCCTTTTTCGCTCTCCCTTCAAGTTAGTGCTACCCACATAAGTCCATCTTTGCAAGCCTTCTGTCTTGACATCGCACTTGATTCTGGCCTCACCTTTGAGCCTCATATCCAGAATGTTGCCAAATCCTGTAGATTCCATCTTAAAAACATAGCCCACATCTGCCCCTTTCTTACGCAAGATGCTACCAAGGAGCTTGTCCATGCTCTAGTAATTTCCTGCATGGATTATTGTAACGCTCTCCTAATTAGTCTTCCCAAAAGCCTTATTCCCCTGCTACAGTCTGTAATGAATGCTGCCGCCAGACTGATTTTCCTCTCCAGTTGCTCCTCTCACACCTCACCCCTCTGTTAGTCCTTACATTGGCTTCCTTTATCCTATAGTAGTCAATTCAAAGTGCTAACCATTACCTATAAAGCACTGAACAATTTTAGCCCATCTTATATCTTTTCACAGATGGGTCTCTCCGCTCTGCCCATGACCTTCTCTTGTCACTGCACGCACCCGCACAGCCAAGTCACGCTTGCAGGATTTCTCGCGGGCGGCTCCTTTCCCATGGAATAGCCTACCTACCCCAATCAGACTCTCCTCTGGTCTTCAATCGTTTAAGAAGTGCCTTAAAACCCATCTCTTTAGGAAAGCTTATGGCCTCCCAGAGTAACCTCTACCTTACATACCTAACTCTTGCACTCTCCTAAAGGGCAGCACTTTACTCTCTCCTCCAGCTCTGCTTCACTCCCACCTTATTTGATTGCTATTTCTTGTCCTAATGTGTTTTATACCCCACCTCCTAGAAGCTCGTTTGGGCAGGGTCCTCTTCAGTCTAATGTTCCTGTAAGTTTTCTTGTAATTGTCCTATTTATAGTTAAACCTCCCTCTCATAATATTGTAAAGCGCTACGGAATCTGTTGGTGCTATATAAATGGCAATAATTATAATAATGGTGGTGCATGTAGTGTTCCTATAATCAAAATACTACAAATCTTAGTTACTCTAGTTATGATTCAGATGACATCATCAAAAGTAATTAGATATTTTATCTCTGGCCAGTGATTCACATCATTTAATTTGGTTTGCTGCCCAAGGTTTATGAGTCCTGAGCAGTTTTTCAAATACAGCGGCTCCATTCCTCAAACCAATTCAAGCTGCAGTGCATTGCCTGGCTGCAGGGTCTCTCTTAGAAAGCTCTGAGAGAGCCCATCAAAGTCATTTAAGAGTTAGGTGGCAATTATGTGATTTGCAGAAACCTATTGATGGCCTAAAATTTCCCATGGGTTCCCTAATTTATTGTGTTTTTATTTTTTTTTATTTTTTTTATTTAAGGATATCTTGTTTAATTGTATCATATCTTCTATTTTCTTCCTTTTCAGTTTCTTGAAATTGTCCTTTGTTTGTTGAAATGTGGATTAAGTTCCATGTCACGCAATTTAATATTTATAATGCCTGAAATCTGAATTTCACTTTATTTTGTTGCCAACTGAATTATGAATGCATGCCTGGGGTCCTGAAACATTAAGGTGTGCCTTGTGGTCTTTAGGTGTGGAAAAAAAGCCTTTGCCAGCACATGTTTTATTCATAGATGTATCTTTGATGATCTAACATAAGAAGAGATTTAGAAGTTATCAAGATGTAGGTATTTTGGGTTAGCTGTGGTAAAGAGTATATCTTTCAGAAACGGCTGTTATGTATTTGATAATTTTATGTTCAAAATGTTTGATTTGTTCATATATATAGTTTTTATTTTGCAGGTGGAACGTGAAATCTTTTTCACCTGTGCTGTAACCATAGGACTGAACAATGGTACTCATATTAGGAAGAAGACTGGTCAGAGAGGAGGGTGGGATACGAGAATCGCCAGCAACTAAAAGAAAAGTATTTGAGATGGAACCTAAGCAGTTGACTGGTCATGAAGTTTTTGAGTTTAATTCTGGCTCTACACATTCTGAAAGCATCCTTCAGGTCTTTAATGAGTTCAGAGAGAGCCGATTGTTTACTGATGTAATTATCTGTGTTGAGGGCAGGGAATTCCCATGTCACAGAGCTGTCCTTTCTGCCTGCAGCAGCTATTTCCGGGCTATGTTTTGTAATGATCACAGAGAAAGCCGTGAGATGCTGATTGAAATTAATGGGATTTATGCAGAAGCAATGGACTGCTTCTTACAGTATGTTTATACCGGAAAAGTGAGAATCACAACTGAAAATGTTCAATACCTGTTTGAAACCTCAAGCCTATTTCAGATTGGTATTTTACGTGATGCATGTGCCAAATTTTTGGAAGAACAGCTAGACCCATGCAATTGCTTGGGGATTCAGCACTTTGCAGACACCCATTCCCTCAAAACTCTCTTTACCAAGTGTAAAACCTTTTCACACCAAGCATTTGAAATTGTCGTTCAACACGAGGAGTTTCTGGAGCTGGGTAAAGCAGAACTCATTGACTATATCTGTACAGATGATTTAGTTGTAAGCAAAGAAGAGTTGGTCTTTGAAGCAGTCATGCGTTGGGTGTACCATCATGTTGATGTCCGAAGACCCGTGTTGCAAGAACTCTTGACACATGTCCGACTCCCTCTGTTACATCCTAACTATTTTGTGCAAACTGTAGAGGTTGATCAGTTAATTCAGAATGCCCCTGATTGTTACCAGCTGCTTCATGAAGCAAGACGATATCACATCCTTGGTAATGAGATGATGTCCTCGCGGACCAGGCCTCGCAGGTTAGAAAACTTTTTAGCCACTCCTGTTCATCTCAGGGATAATTTTTTCTTTTTTTGTTATGTAATCATAAGGTTACAATACATCCAAAAGCACATTTGGAAAGAAAATGTATTTATCTACATGAGCCATAATGTAGAAAAGAAACAAACATTATACATTACAGTAACAATACACTTCATTGAGTTGAATGGACTATGCATGTTATTGTGCCAGTAGTCCGGCTTAGCCTTGTCAAATACTCACTCGCTGAGTACAGAAATTTTGATCTTTACACTTGGACAGCTCAATCAACACTCACTATAGTGGTTTAACAAAAAGTTCAGTTATGCAAACACTTTTCAATTACTCTAAATCTTTACCCCTTATAAATCCAGTGATATTGAAGTCCAGAAATTAGGCAGACCAAATTCATTGGTCTTTGTTTTTGTTACATAGTAATAGAGTATATTTACATCAACGTGTGTAGAATGTCCTTGCCAGTCACTGATATATAAGTATATATGTATCACATTTAGCCAACACATTGACAATAAGTGAGTTTGTCACAGAATTAATGACCATATAGTCAAACAGATGCTAAAGGGCCATGTTCGAAATGTCCTAATTCTTTCTTCTGTAAGTTTTTTTTTTTCTTTCCCTAGGGCAGGGGTTCTCAACCCAGTCCTCATGACCCCCTACCAGTCCAGGGTTTAGGGATTACCTGGGTGTGTCTAAGGTGTTTAGAAAAAGAAAAAAAAACACCTTAGAGTCTAAGGTTTTTTTTTCTTCCCTTTTTCTAAACACCTTAGACACACCCAGGTAATCCCCAAATCCTGGACTGGTAGGGGGTCCTGAGGACTGGGTTGAGAACCCCTGCCCTAGAAGGTGGCACTATATGACCCAAAGTATAAAATTTAGCATTTACAAAAACATGAAAATGTCTGTAAAATATGAGCATAATTTAATGTAATTTCAGTCATGTTATTTTTTTTAAACCTATAATTAATTTGTTTTTGGAATTGTGCACAAAGGCGTACTTGTATTTTTGGCTTTTAAAGCTCCTTGCTTTTTGAAGAATTAACTAAAAGTCCTTTGTTTTATTATTTCCATATACCGGTAATAAATAGTAGAACTGTTTTGTTTTGTTTTTTTGTTGGTTTTGTTAAGCACACCATTATCGGCAAGTAGATTCAATTTCATTAATTGTTGCTGTGTTGATTATTTGCTAGATCTACAGGATACTCCGAAGTGATTGTGGTGGTAGGAGGTTGCGAGCGTGTTGGAGGGTTTAATCTTCCATATACTGAATGCTATGACCCTGTGACTGGAGAATGGAAATCACTAGCCAAGCTGCCAGAATTTACAAAATCAGAATATGCTGTGTGTGCTCTTAGAAATGATATTCTTGTTTCAGGTAAGCAGAGGTGCACAAGTCTTGTTTTTTTAGAAGACATCCATTCATGCAAGGTGCTGCATGCTCAATTTCTATACTTACTTTAAAGCCCTTTAATACCCGGAAAAAAACGCCTTTAAAGTCCTTTTCCCACGTTTTAATATTTTAGTCATACTTAGGAGTTTATTCACTAAACATTTGGTGTTTGGCTCAAAATTTTCTTTTTGCATATTAATATCATTATTGGTATTTATATAGTGCCAACTTATTCCGCAGTGCTTTACAATTTTGTGAAAGGGGTAAATTTAACAAAAAATTAGACAATTACAAAATGTAACAGGAACAATAGTAGCTGAGGATCCTGCTCAAACCAGCTTACAGTCTAGAGTAGGTGGGGTATAAAGACACAGTAGGAGGGGCATCAAAGAAAACGGCACACAAACAAGGTGACAATGTAACAGAATTGGAGGTGAGAGTGGAGTGTGGAGAGAGCAAGTGACCGATATGAAACATAGAAGTTACTCTGGGAAGCCATAAGCATTCCTGAACAGATGAGTTTTGAAAGACTTCTTAAACGATTGAAGACTAAGTGAGAGTCTGATGGGGGTAGGCAGGCTGTTCCAAAGGAAAAGAGCCGCCCGTGAAAAGTCCTGCAAGTGCGAATTAGCATGAGGGTACGAGCAACAGACAGGAGAAGGTCACCGCCAGAGCGGAGAGGCTGCAAAGGTTGTTATAATGTATAGGATCCAGACATTTATCAAGCACTGCTTTTGAACCAATGTTGTGACAGAATGCATCCAATAGGAGGCACATTTGCAAATTATCATTCATTCAAATACGGGCCTGTATTTTAATATTCGAATCCTGATTTCCTCATAAGATTCTGAGCTGTTTCAGGTTCATACATAACCATTAAGGAAGTAATAGTTTAACACCTTAAGGTAAGCTGGAACCCAGAACCTACTCGCACCATAACAACATAATTCCTATGAAGTTGTTATGCTGCCCATAGGTCCTTTTAAACAGAAAGCATTAAATTCTGGTGGAACAATCGCCATAGCAAAAGTGCCAGAAAGACCTTACTCAAGAATACACAGAATTTTAGAAGAGCCTTGGTTATAAAGGGAAGAATATTCATAGCAGATTTTTTATAGTGTACATGTGTATTTGTTGTATTATAAATTTTGCTAAATGATATTGTTGTAACTGTGTTTTGTGTCCTTTGCTGGCTTTAATTGGCCAACTAAGGATCATTTGCAAAGATTTGGTAACATTTCACACAACATCAACACAAGGGAGTTGTTTGTGGTCTTTGCTCTGCTAATGTGCAAAACGTCTGGCTAATTTTTGGTATTCGTTAATTAGGTGAGTGGTTTTGTAAATGATTTTACAGTCCTTTTGGTTGAATTCAATAGGAGAAAAATTGTTCCTGTAATGTGTCAATAAGTCTGTAAAAATGAGTTTAATAAAAAGTTGAATTATGAAGTGGTGTAAATAGTTTAGCTGTTGCTGAATTAAGTTACTCAGAAGTCAATTGAAACATTTGTGATATTTACTATCATATAAAAATATATAAAAGGGTGAAAGAGAGCGCACAAAAAAGATATACAATAATACTTATAAGAGAATGGTACAAAGTACCTCTAGATAATAGCTGCTAAACAAAAAAAGAACTTCCCAAATTCAATGAATAAACTGTAAGATATTGTGTTGTCAGCGCTTAGTGAATAATCCCCTTAGATATAATCAGGGGTAAAGGTCTTAACAAATGTATCTATAATAATTAGAAACAGCAATAGCATATAGTGTTAAGAGTGTCAATATAACTGATAGTAACAATCAGATTGTAACCAAAAAATCTAAATTGTATCTCAGTCCAGTATAAAATATGTAGCAGGGTCCAAAGTGACAGGAGGTCCACAGTGTTGTTTGGGAACACAATCTTTGACTTTGAATCCCTTAAAAAAGACAGAAAATATATATAGTGCAATACTGTATTTAATGTCTTAAAACACCAATGGAATCCCCCTCCCCAACATAGGAACCTTGAAAAAGCCCACTAAGAGGGGCGAAACGCGTTGATTAGGTGATCATCCTGCATTTTATCTTGTTTTGCTGTCAACACTCTGCATGACAAGTTTTTATGCTAACTGGAGGCAGCATTACAAAGAGGAGAACTTTTACTGAATCCACAGCCAGCCTCAGTGCACGAGGAACGCTCCGGACGGCATCCTTGAAGCAGAGGAGAGATAAGACTGCAGCCAGATAAGCTTTTATTGTGGTCCTTAGAGATAAGCACCACATTTTTCTTCTGTAAGGGTTCCTATGTTGGGGAGGGGGATTCCATTGGTATTTTAAGACATTAAATACAGTATTGCACTATATATATTTTCTGTCTTTTTTAAGGGATTCAAAGTCAAAGATTGTGTTCCCAAACAACACTGTGGACCTCCTGTCACTTTGGACCCTGCTACATATTTTATACTGGACTGAGATACAATTTAGATTTTTTGGTTACAATCTGATTGTTACTATCAGTTATATTGACACTCTTAACACTATATGCTATTGCTGTTTCTAATTATTATAGATACATTTGTTAAGACCTTTACCCCTGATTATATCTAAGGGGATTATTCACTAAGCGCTGACAACACAATATCTTACATATTTACTATCATGATCACAGGCTAACTTCGCAATGTAACTGAGCTCAGCCAGCACATTTACACTGAACAAAATTCTAAACGCAACACTTTTGTTTTTGCCCCCATTTTTCATGAGCTGAACTCAAAGATCTAAGACTTTTTCTACGTACACAAAAGGCCTATTTCTATCAAATATTGTTTACAAATCTGTCTAAATCTGTAAAAACAACAAATAAAACAGTTACCTACGCTCTTCCCAAATCCCTATGCATATTTAACAAATGGAGGCTATTTAGTTTCTCCAATGGCCATGAGAGAGTTTAGCCCACCTGCCACGTCAAGGCTAACCTCTCAGGTGGGTCCTACTCTAACCTTTCAGCTTGCTTCCTTGAGCATCTGGCAAAGATCTCTCTAATGAGACAGAAAAAGGTATTTTTTTATATACACCCCTACATGCTTATTAACCCCTAATAAGGAACACATGGGATGGGCGGCAGCATTGTAACATAGCTGTGTGATACAAAAGTGAATAATAAAAAAAAAAGTCCTGAGCTCAAACTCCCATCACTCCTGGGCGGCAGCAATGACCATAGTTCACATCAGCCCCAATACATATAGTAAAAACCAAAGAAAAAAGTTACCTGCGCTCTTCCCAAATCCCTATGCGTATTTGAACAAATGGAGGTTATTTAGTTTCTCCAACGGCCATGAGAGACTTTAGCCCACCTGCTACATCAAGGCAGACCTCTCAGGTGGGTCCTACACTAACCTTTCACCTTGCTTCCCTGAGCTTCTGGCAAAGATATCTCTAATGTGATATCTCTGAGTGATAGGAAGGATTTGCTTTAAAATAGAACAGTCACTTTCTGTGACCTTGTATGCATTCTTAAAAATTAAAACATTATCATAAACATTATCCCCCTGATTTTATCTAATAAATTACTCTACTGAGTAATTTTCAGTATATTCTTATGTGCAGTGTACATTGGCATAAACAACACAGTCTTAATCTATAAACCAAAGCCCACTATTGTTGGAATCTATAAATAAAAACCAGTGTCATGTGAGTTCATTCCAGTTTCATTGTTAAGGGATCAGATGACGAATTCATGTTTCATATATTTGTTTTGTAGGAGGTAGAATCAACGGCCGTGATGTTTGGATGTATAACTCTCAACTAAACATCTGGATCAGGGTTGCTTCTTTAAACAAAGGAAGATGGCGTCATAAAATGGCTGTTCTACTTGGGAAGGTAAGATAAAAAGTATCAATTAATTAATTGGTCAATAATTCAGTTTTCATAACATGATGTTTGGTGATACTACCATGAGTTCAGAGTCGACACTATATAGATATTACCCAAGAATGGCAGGCTAATAAATACATGGCAAACAAATATATCACCAAAAGGTACAAATAGTGGAAGAAATAAAATATAACACGCAATAATACTTAACTTCAGATAACGTGTAACAGCCTCCCTAGGTCGTTACCCAAAAAACGACCTATATCATATATAGGAAACCACAACAAAAGAAATTCGGGAATAGCTGTGTAAATCTACAGAGAGAACATAAAACAAAACAAAAGTGTAATATTGTTACAAAATACAATATTCTGTGTGCAGTTATCGGTTGCACTCACTAGATAAGAGTAGATATAAACACTCTTAAGGTGCCTCCCCAGGTATAATGGGGGGCCAAACAATCCTTCTGTTCACCTCCAAACTCGTATTCCACCAAAATACATCCACAGGTCAGGGTTTAGAAAATTGAAAAAGGTTTATTCAATAAAAATGTAAGCAGTCACCAATTTAGCATAGGATATGAATGCAGAAAAATAGTCCTATGCGTTTCGTTCGTTATGAACTTCCTCAGGGACTGCAATAAAATAATCACCATGTATAGTTGTTTTTAGGATATGTTTATTTTATACTTTGTATCTATACATGGTGATTATTTTATTGCGGTCCCTGAGGAAGTTCATAACGAACGAAACGCGTAGGACTTTTTTTCTGCATTCATATCCTATGCTAAATTGGTGACTGCTTACATTTTTATTGAATAAACCTTTTTCAATTTTCTAAACCCTGACCTGTGGATGTCTTTTGGTGGAATACGAATTTGGAGGTGAACAGAAGGATTGTTTGGCCCCTCATTATACCTGGGGAGGCACCTTAAGAGCGTTTATATCTACTCTTATCTAGTGAGCGCAACCAATAATTGCGCACAGAATATTGTATTTTGTTACAATATTACACTATGATTTTTTTTATGTTCTCTCTGTAGATTTACACAGCTATTCCCGAATTGCTTTTGTTGTGGTTTCCTAATAAATACATATCCCAGAACTGTAAACCAGTTACTTTATAACACAGACTATAAGAATATGGACAAGAAAAATACAAGTGACTGTGAGATGGAAATGGGAGAGGAGACCGTTTAGAAATTCGAAAAGAAAAAAATGTATTTTTCATGTATTTTGGTTTTTGAGCTGCGTGTTAGTGTTGCAATCCTGCTAACACAGCTTAGAGATAATTTTCAATTCTGTGTACCATGTACTATTAATGATAGGGTTTCTTTTAACTTCCTCTTTTACCCAAGTGGAACCCACATCAGAGTTGAACAGAGGGACAAATATGACTTATGTTCATTAGTATTCAATATTTGAATCCATGATGCTTTCATGATATTCCTACCCTTTGTCTGTCCCTGGCTTGCACTTGAAATACATGTCTGGGTATTTTAACTTATCATAGTATTAAAGGAGATGGTATGTTTAGCACTTGGAAGGTACTGGTGGGGTAAGGGAGACAGTTAAACAGGCCAATCTGGAGTGTCTCTGTTACGGTCCGTTATAGGATGTGTATACGTAGAGATGGGAGTAGCGCCTTGAGATTTCCTCAGATGTAGACCTATGAAACAAGAGGAAGGGACAATGGAGGAGTGTATGGTGTAGTATGTTGTGTGTGTGTATATAATGTGGTACAGAAAAAGAGATAAAGTAGTATAATGCCCGCCTCAGGACATTTGGTGTATCACTTGATCCAAGTTTGGTCCAGGAGGCATGTAAAACAAACAGATATACAACTATATATTGTAGTTTGCAAAGGAAGCACAGGCTGAGTAAGCAGCTAAATGGAAGTACACATAATTTTAGTGAAGCTTCACATACTACTATAGAAAGAACACAGCCACAAATATAGGACACTGTGGAGATTATACCACTCCACACTGTTCATTAGAAGCTATTAAAGGGTTCCACTTAATGTGCAATTTCATTTATCTACTTCCCCAGCTTGTGCTACCCATACATATTACAGCAAGCATGTCAGACTTTAAAGGCTAGCACGGGCCAAATATACCAGGTTTAAGTTTATATGGGCCGCAAAAAAACAGCAAACATATATTTTCATAGAGACGTAGGTTTGTTTTGAAAAGTACAGTATAAAAAACAGCATCCCCCTCTACTAAACCCCAGCCCCCCCCTCCATACTAAATCCCAGGTCCCCCCTCTACTAAACCCCAGCCTTGTTTAAAAAAACAAAACAATATTAGCCAACAAGCAGACTCCACTCACATTGCCGCTGACAGCATGGGACTCCAGAGTCCAGCCTCTGGTATACCCCCAATGGCGCGGTCCGCGCCCTGTGCCAAAGCGGATCCTCCCGCTATTCCTTGAAGCCCTGTGAAGGTGGAGCACATTGACGTCACGTGCGTGCCTCCGTGCACCTCCAGTTCCTCCACTGACCAGCCGAGACCATCAGAACACTGACAAAAACACACTCTCTGACAGACAACACACTGACAGACACACTCACTCTCTGACAGACAGACACACACACTCATTCTGTGACAGACACACAGACATTCGCTCACTGACAGACACACACACACACACACTATCTGACAGACACACATAGACAGTCACTCACTGACAGACACACTCACACATTTACACATTCTTGCACACACTCACATCATTTTATTTATTGTTTCCTACCTTTGGGAGCTGGTGTGGGGCCTCTCCCTGGGGTCCAGTGAGTATCTTCTCTCGGGAGGTGTCCTTCCTGCTCCTCACGAGCGCAGTTTAGTGATGCCGGAATGACGTCATATTCTGGCACCACTACAGAGGGCACGCGCAAGGGAGCAGTGAGGAGCAGGAAGACTGGAGCTCCGTTGCTGCCGCCAGCAACCTCTCTAGGCACCTGGAATGTGGGGAGAGCAGGTGCCTACTCTACCTTAGTAAGCATGGCAAACTTGTGGCTCGCTGGGCCGCAAAGATATTCATTGTGGGCCGCAAGTGTGACATGCTTGTACTACACTATATTGGTGTCTATTCTGTTTGTTTTACATACCTTCTACAGTCACTTTACAAAGTCATGATGAAAGTTGAATGAAAGATGAGACATCGGACAGACAATAGAAAATAATGCTACCACTGTTTCTGGACCCTGTTTTTCAGGTGTACGTGGTTGGAGGATATGATGGGCAGAATAGACTGAGCAGTGTTGAATGCTATGATTCATTCTCTAATCGGTGGACAGATGCTGCTCCACTTAAGGAAGCTGTGAGTTCACCAGCAGTCACCAGCTGTGTTGGAAAACTCTTTGTGATTGGTGGGGGACCCGATGACAACACCTGCTCTGACAAGGTATGGTCCACATATAACTGTAACATTAATAAACTAGACGCTTCCATACTCTTCAGCTATTCTGGTTGACTGAATACGTTTGTTATAGTGGAACATCCAAATTTTGGCCACTCAGATATTGCAGATTTGGAGTCTCCAAATAAAGCATATTATATTAAAGTTCATACTAATTATGTTTTAGTGATCCATTTAAGAACAAATCGTGAGGCTTTCTCTTGATTAATTTTCCGCAGAGAAGTGCTAGTCTGTTGGTATATGAAGAACAGGATACCATCAAAGAGCATGCCAGAAACTTACATAGTTATGTGTGCTCTGTTCTAGGACCAAGTCTGTAACTATTGTAACTAAGGGCTGAAATGTGTTATCTAACGTATATATCTAAAAATTCACCAACATTTAGATTTGTTTTTTAGGACTATGTGACAAAAGCAACCTGCAGGGGGAGCTCTAGCAGATTGGAAGTTGTACAAACTGGGCGGCCAGTATTGACAAACCGTGCAGATGTAGATGCATCCAATCCTCCGTACAATAAAATTATGTTTGAATCTTAATTTTATGTACAAGAATAAAAAACATTCTTTTTTTTTTTTTTTTTACTTTTTAAAATTCTTTTATTTTTGTAGTGCATATGATGTAACAACGTGCATGGTGTACCCCAACGGCATTCCTCATGCTTTTCATACATTTATAACAGTAAGGGGTATGTTCTTGCGTGCACAATTTTATGTTAAATATACAGTTTAGTAAGCTTATTCTCAATGTATTGTCTATTATATATAATGCCACGACAAACATTCATAGACCAGATAGATGGGTATAACACGAATATGACTGCTTAGGTATGAACCATACGTTAAGGTACATGCTAGTTAAGTCACTGCTGTGGTTGCTTATTTAGTTGCTGTTCGGTGATATTTCATTTGTTAAACTTAAAATATTACTTGTCTAGTGGCATTCTGAGGAGATAGGAGTAGTTTTGTAGACTCCTGGGGTCGAGCTAACTGCTCTGAGGATATTTAGTTAAGCAGTTGCTGTGGTTTTGCGCTAGTGGGGATGCCTTAGAGTCTGCCTCAGGATTAACGTTTCACAAAATGATAATTAAGATAACGCTTAATAACAATGCAAACGAAATGATAAGGAAAATAACGCCATGGGGGCCAGTGGGTATAGAGACTATTAAATACGGATCATAAGTATGAACCACACATGCTATTGAATATTTGCACATAACTTTACAGTCTCGTAGCTGGTCTGCTGTGGCGTGCTACTCGGGATTTACCCCTCGCGGATCAGTCTCAGGGACAGAGTCAGCCTATGCCAGCAGGGGACACGACACCGTCTCTGAGTGCAGGGGCCCACTGCCTGACATCGCCTATGCTCCGGTAGGTTGGGGTTCCTGACTTGCGTGTCGCACTGTTCAGCTTTTTCGGTCGTGGTTGTGGTCCTGCTTGAGTGCGCTTGGGTGATGTCTTCGGCGCCATTTTGAGGCTCGGCACTGATCTTCTTAGGTGCTTAGGTGGAGAGCTTTTGGGTAAGTAGGCTTCTTTGTGTGGTAGAGAGGGCTGGAGCAAAAGGCGTGTTAATTTCTGCCAGAAGTCTGAGAAATGTCCCTCTATTTTGGAGAGGATGTCGCTGTGTGCTTTGTCGGCAATAGGGATCCCATGTGGACAGTGCTGTATCTCGCTCGCGGGATCTGCTCCCCACTGCATCTTGAGGGTAAGTCGTTTTTTGGGTGTCTGTAGCCTGTGTTGTAATGTGCACTCTGGCCTGCTGTGTCTCCGACCCGTCCTTCCGCTTCGGGCCTGCCACTGTTTTGGAGCCGCGGTCTTGCGTTGCGTCTGGAGGGGTAGGCATCTTGTCTTGATGTCGCAGTGAGTGCTTGTTGTTTGTGGTGGCGGGCATCGGACTATCTTGTGCCCGAATGCCACCTTGCTTGCTGCAGGTTCGGAGTGAGGGCTTTCTTTCCCTCTGGCTTTGGTTCTTCTGGCATCAGCCATTTTGATTGATGCACCTGGGCCGCATCGCAGGTTGATAATGTCGCTAGGCTCGGGTTTTGTCTCTGCGTTCTGAGCCCCAGGGTGTGGACCCGGATCACCCCCATCGGTCCAGAGGGAGGGGGGGGAACAGGGTCCGGTCCGCAGGGTTTCGCAGGCTTTCCGGTTGGCAGGATAGTGGGGCAACGGATACTCCTGTGCATTGAGGATTGTTGCTGGAGGTCGTGTTGAAGCGAAAAAATCTTGGTTTTAAGGCTTTAGGTTTGGAAACTTGCAGGAGCTGAGTATGCATGCGACCATCCAGCTCAGCGGTTCAGCCCCGCCCCCAAAAACATTATTTTATATATCCTATTTATTAACTACCAAATTTCATACCGAAAATAAAAAATGTATTCAAATTAACTGTTTAGTTATGCGTAGAGGCACTAGAACTTGGATAGAGTGAATCAAATTTATGTAGTTTCATAGGTATAACAAAGTAGCTTAATGTGAGCAGAGGTATTGGCTGAAAAGCACAGTCTAAACCACCACTTAAAATGTTGCATGCCATTAGTGATGATGCACAGAAGTGTACTCTTTCTATCCATGTTCACAGTTCGTGTATAGAGGTTTATGTTCACATTTATAGGTTTTGGATAACTGTTCTCAGATTTAGAGTCAGAATACTATCCACATCTGTTAGCATGGCTGAAAATGATGCGGTTCCGCAGTATCCGTGTAGTACATTAGAAAAAATAAAAATAAAAACAAGCACTTATATATCAAATAGAAATAATATATCAATAAATGGGTTATAACAAAAATTAGGTGCTAAACATTCGGGCAAAACCTTCCACTCATGCAGATAGAATATGTAAAAAACAGAAGAATGTAGCGCTTATATTTTAGAACAATAAATTATCACCTTATGGTAGCATTGAGGAGATGGAAAAACTTGAACGATCGATGAATCAAATACCTGTAACACAAATAATCGAATATAGTGCAGACAGTATTATACTGAATAATATATTACACATAAATAGTAAAGCTCACTCACAAACAGGGAGCTATAGACCTAGCTCCAGTTAAAATGGCATGTGGATCCGTTTAGGCGATCCTCCCCTATTTTAAAAGATTAAACAGGTCTTGTCCTGAGGGTAGAATAGAAACGGAAAACGATTGCGCAGTACCACTTATAAATGGTCAAAGTAAAATAGAGTTCCCAAGTGGGTACTTACAAGGTTGGAGTCAAAACCTATGACTCAATTCACACGTATTGTGCAGTTAGGGGCTGCACTCCCATCCGTAACAGGTAAATCCAGGGGTCCAAATAAACGTAAAGAAAAACTCAATTTATTAAAACAATGAATAAATAAGTATAAAATAATAAGCAGCAATATGCTCTATACCAGAACGCGTTTCGCCACTTCTGTGTGGCTTTCTCAACTGGATAAATATGTAAAAACGTCCCCTGGTTCCTCAAACATGTTTAAATACCTCTTGGTTGGCGGGTATTGGGATTCGCACCTGTGCACCGCAACACGTTACTACCACCCACAGGTAGAACGTGTGCGGTCCGAGCCTCCCTCTCATTTCACTTACGGGAATGCTCCACCAAGTTACCTGCCTCTAATAACAGTCTATCCTATTAAACTGCTATTCTCACAAATGTCCGATACATTCATTCAATGCGATACTTTACTGATACAGTTGCAATATTCTTTTCTTCTGTGTGCGATCTCTCATAGCAAATATCAAAGGGAAAGTTCATTCTGCCGTTTTCTTCATGATGTGGAGGTGTAATTCAATTCCATATTGTCCATGTATATACATAAATGATTATAGTCCATGGGTCATGTTAAAAAAGAAAGAAGAAGAGGAGAGGAAAAAAAACCTATTAAAAATGACACAACTCAAAATCGAAATTTAAACCATATGGAATTAGTGTATTCAGTTTTCCATTTCGGATTTTCCTAATTCCTTAATTGAGTCACCCCCTCTCCAATTTTTATTTAATTTTTTAATTCCCATAAATTTTAAACCCTCCGGCTTCTGGTCATGAAATTTTTTAAAGTGATATGAAACGCTATGTTGCTCAAATCCTGTTTGGATTTTGTATATGTGTTCTCGAATTCTTGTATGTAGGGGCCTGGTGGTCCTACCCACATATTTAAGACCACACGGGCATATCAGAAGATAAATTAAATTCTTTGTATAGCAGGTCATAAATTGTTTTATAGGGATAGTAGTATTCTCATTTAGACCTATATCTTTAATTACCCTTCTAGTACATCCTGACTTTTTACATGCTGCGCACTGGCCGCATCCATAGAAACCTTTTTCATCTTTAAATAAAATTGATGACTGATTCTTTTCTTTTACAAAGCTCCTAACTAGTGTATTTTTAAGGTTTCTTGCACCTCTATATATAATTCTCGGTTTCATAGGTAGGATTTGTTTTAAAACTGGATCCTGAAGTAGAATGGGCCAATATTTGTTCATAATTCTCCGTACTTGGTAATTACTTGGAGAATGCCCCTAAAGGACAATTCCTCAGGATTCGAAGAAATTGTAGTGATTTAACGTATTATGAGGATCAGTCAACACGAATTAAGACCGATTTCTTAGCCAAGGGGTATGATGCTAGTAGAATTGAAACCTCTAGATTAGAAATAAAAAAGAGAGAAAGAAAAGAGTTACTATCATATAAAAAAAGAACAGATGGTGATATACAGGATATCCCGTTCATCTGCAACTATAATACAAGTAATTACCAAGTACGGAGAATTATGAACAAATATTGGCCCATTCTACTTCAGGATCCAGTTTTAAAACAAATCCTACCTATGAAACCGAGAATTATATATAGAGGTGCAAGAAACCTTAAAAATACACTAGTTAGGAGCTTTGTAAAAGAAAAGAATCAGTCATCAATTTTATTTAAAGATGAAAAAGGTTTCTATGGATGCGGCCAGTGCGCAGCATGTAAAAAGTCAGGATGTACTAGAAGGGTAATTAAAGATATAGGTCTAAATGAGAATACTACTATCCCTATAAAACAATTTATGACCTGCTATACAAAGAATTTAATTTATCTTCTGATATGCCCGTATGGTCTTAAATATGTGGGTAGGACCACCAGGCCCCTACATACAAGAATTCGAGAACACATATACAAAATCCAAACAGGATTTGAGCAACATAGCGTTTCATATCACTTTAAAAAATTTCATGACCAGAAGCCGGAGGGTTTAAAATTTATGGGAATTAAAAAATTTAATAAAAATTGGAGAGGGGGTGACTCAATTAAGGAATTAGGAAAATCCGAAATGGAATGGATTTACAAACTGAATACACTAATTCCATATGGTTTAAATTCCGATTTTGAGTTGTGTCATTTTTTATAGGTTTTTTTTTTTCCTCTCCTCTTCTTCTTTCTTTTTTAACATGACCCATGGACTATAATCATTTATGTATATACATGGACAATATGGAATTGAATTACACCTCCACATCATGAAGAAAACGGCAGAATGAACTTTCCCTTTGATATTTGCTGTGAGAGATTGCACACAGAAGAAAAGAATATTGCAACTGTATCAGTAAAGTATCGCATTGAATGAATGTATCGGACATTTGTGAGAATAGCAGTTTAATAGGATAGACTGTTATTAGAGGCAGGTAACTTGGTGGAGCACTCCCGTAAGTGAAATGAGAGGGAGGCTTGGACCGCACACGTTCTACCTGTGGGTGGTAGTAACGTGTTGCGGTGCACAGGTGCGAATCCCAATACCCGCCAACCAAGAGGTATTTAAACATGTTTGAGGAACCAGGGGGACTTTTTTACATATTTATCCAGTTGAGAAAGCCACACAGAAGTGGTGAAACGCGTTCTGGTATAGAGCATATTGCTGCTTATTATTTTATACTTATTTATTCATTGTTTTAATAAATTGAGTTTTTCTTTACGTTTATTTGGACCCCTGGATTTACCTGTTACGGATGGGAGTGCAGTCCCTAACTGCACAATACGTGTGAATTGAGTCATAGGTTTTGACTCCAACCTTGTAAGTACCCACTTGGGAACTCTATTTTACTTTGACCATTTATAAGTGGTACTGCGCAATCGTTTTCCGTTTCTATTCTACCCTCAGGACAAGACCTGTTTCATCTTTTAAAATAGGGGAGGATCGCCTAAACGGATCCACATGCGATTTTAACTGGAGCTAGGTCTATAGCTCCCTGTTTGTGAGTGAGCTTTACTATTTATGTGTAATATATTATTCAGTATAATACTGTCTGCACTATATTCGATTATTTGTGTTATAGGTATTTGATTCATCGATCGTTCAAGTTTTTCCATCTCCTCAATGCTACCATAAGGTCATAATTTATTGTTCTAAAATATAAGCGCTACATTCTTCAGTGTAGTACATGTTGGGTTAGGAGCTAGGCCACTGTACCTCTGACCACTGAGGAACCAGGGTTTACATGCATGTGCATGGTTCTCTTCTGTACCCAGCAACAATGTGCACCATTGCTACAACAAGATTGCAGGCTGTTGAATGCCTTGTCTTTATAGCTTTGCTATAATCTCACTTAGCATTTTTAATTCACCATTACCAGGACATTACTTTTAATTAATTCATGATTAGTGATTTCGGAGTAGTGATATCTGTGACGAAGTGCCTTTCGCCACTTGGTCCTGGAGAGGCTTGCTTGCCAGCCTCCTCCCTTGCAACTATGGCCCCTGGGAGATTGTACCCTTTTAAACCAGCATTTGGGCTTATGGACTTTTATTGGACTGTGTATGGTTCTTTAAGAACCGTCTGTGGGCACATTGTGACTTTGGTCAGCAATGCCCCTTTAAGACTTTGGCCCCTGGAAGATTTTGCCTGTTAAAGACTATTTTAGCAGATTGGATTTTAAAAAACTCTTGCTGCCCCTTTAAATTGTATTGGAGCAGTTCTACAGCTTTAAATTGGCACTTCGGAAGTGGCCGCCATTCGACAAACGAACACGTGGCGCCGGCCACGTTTGTTCATTCGAACGAGGTCAGTGGTATGTGTAGCCAAATCCATGGAACTGAAATCGGCTACACATTTAAACAAACGCCGCTGACCCTTACCTTTTCCTGCACTGAGTTTTCAGCCACAGAGAAACGACCGTTCGAATGGGACTTTTTTCAGTATGGTCACAATGGACTTCCGTCTAACTTTTTATTTACTGGAAGGATGTTTATGATTTTTGAGTATGTTTATAGTTAAAGGATGCTGATTAATAATATGTGTGTTCATTTTTTATGAAGATTGGATGTGTGGTTTTAAAGTTACAGTGTATGTGTAAAAACTGTATATTTTCTGCCTGTGATAATTAAGTTAGTCTATTGTGTTGAGATAATTGTATCACAGGCAGAGGGGAGGATTTCTGCTGGGATGAATGGGGGTGGTTTACTTTATTGTACGTGTTGTAATGTTTTTATTGATTGTTCTGGAAAACCCTGTGGGTGGTCCTATGTAGGGAAAACCTGCATAAAAGAAAGCCATTTGGTGCTAATTAAAACAGATCTTCTTGACCCTCAACACGTATTCTTGTCTCGTGATTAGAGGGGACAGCTATACTCACACTGGGGATTGCTATGCTCTGCACACTCCCCTGAGCTCTAATCACTTAGCTCTTTTAAGAGCTTGTTCCTGATACGCTCTCTTGGAGGAGTGGTCTTCCCCACACGGTCCTGGAAGACAGAAGCTGATCCAGGGTGGACAGAAGATGGCTGGACTCCAGTTAAGCTATGGCGGTTGTGGAGTCTGCGGTGGTTGAGGTGTCCGGTGCGATGCTTGTGGTCCTCGGCGCAGGCTAGGAAGCATCCATCAACGGAAGGTACTCGGTCGGAGTATGGGGAGTTCCGTTACAATATCACATACCCCCACTGCTTGTCATTGGTCCTCCCAGCACTTGTTACCTTCTGTGTGACATGACCCTGTCAGTAAAAAGATGTATTAAATCATCAAGTCTTGATAAAGTTGTAATGAAATCGTAGATTGTGGCTGTCAAGTTTGATGTTTGAATCTTGTGAGGCACGTCATTCCTGGTATGGTCACACTGTTTTGTTATGTGCTGGGAATACATGAATTTTATCTTCATGGCTGTTCCTGAGAATGTAATGTTAAATTATTTCTGCCTCCCTTGTGGTCCACCTGATGGTGATAGGCGCCACAAGAAGTATTGATAGTCAAATGTTTTATATATCTGTCGCTGCTTTTTTGGAGACCGAGCATCGCATTGAAATAGGTTTAAGATAATGCAATGGGGAGGGAGAGATCAAGGGGAGATTAGGAAAGTGTAATTTTGAAGATACAGGAGATGAACGAAGAAAGAGAGGCTAAAAGTGAATGTAAATAGTAGAATAGGACACAGTGGAAAATAAGGATGCAATGGAAAGTGAATGGGAGTGAGTATAAATGGGACAGGGAATGAGTACAGAAGTCGGTGATGGAAAAATGAGGGAACTAACGATGAATGCAACGGAAAAATAGAATATCATGGAAGGATATATATGAAAAAAAAATGATGAAAATGGGGAAGATAGAATGATGAGAGAAGATGGGAGATGAATGAGGAGAACATAATCAGATGTAATGAGGAGAGGGGAAACTTAAGGAAAGGGTCCAGTTGAAAGAGGAAGAGGAAGATATAAGGCATATGGAACAAGGAATGATGGGGTAGGTAAAAGACAGAGAGTAGAAGTGGGGGGATGTCCACCAAGCATCTTGTCTGAACAGAATTCAGATCTTTTTATCAGTGCAGCTGTCGCACAGCAGAAGATTAGAGATACATTAGATGGTGTTCTAGTGTGAAGGTGCCAAACAAGCTCATGTCCTTTGCTTCATCTCCTTGCTGTACAGTTGAGCGAATGAATAACCTATATTTCTCATGTCTGGTACAACTGGTGGAGATAGCAGGAGAAGACCTTCTAATTCTAGTTCGAAAGTGTTACCTTCGTTTATTTGTTTGTGGCCAAGTCACAGTTCTGTTCCTTAGACCAATCATTTATTCTCTGGATGTTTGTAACCTCTGAAGAATTATTGGGATCTTGTCTGTGTGAAGTATTCCTACATACATTAATTCGTTGAAATTTTTTGTTTCTATACTCAGGTTCAGTGCTATGATCCAGACACTAACACATGGTTACTAAGAGCCTCTATTCCTATAGCAAAGAGGTGCATTACGGCAGTGTCCTTAAATAACCGCATATATGTCGCTGGAGGGCTCACAAAAGCAATTTATTGCTATGACCCAATGGAGGATTTCTGGATTCATGTGCAGAACATGTTTAGCAGACAGGTAATTGCATAATTAGTTCAATATTTCACAAAAGAATGAAGGGTGTGCCAAGAAATAAGATGCAGTTGTTTTTAATTTATTTTTCAAGACAAAGCAATTCTTTTTTTAATGCGTGTGTATTCATGTATATCATCATAAATTTACTTATATTTTCTGCCCTTCTGCTCTTTCCTGTCTTTCTCATCCTTGCCATACTAGGAGATGGCGATTAGTCCACTCCAGTTGCATTTCTTCTCCAGAATCTACACCAAACCCATTTCTCCTATATCTCCTATAACAGACTACCGCCCCTTCCCTGCCCTTATCCCTGTCTCAACACCTCTACCAAAGCTTATATCTATCACTTCCCTACTAACCACTAACTCAGCCTATGTTTTTATCCCTTATCTCATCATCCCCCTTTCAACCTTATCTGAAGCTGACCCCCCCATTGCATAGCTTCCAATTTGTTATAGACAAAAAGTTATATTTTTGTTGTTTGAAATGTGACCACGTTTTCAAAGTACTTTAGTGGCGTATTCCTAAGGTGTACAACACAGAAAGATTTGAGATCGTGAAGCACGTAGTGGAGGTGCAAGGGATACGTACCAGTAAAGAAGAAAAGGGTTTAAGTTTCTAGTGCTAAGGGACATCAAGGGCCCTCACTGAGTTGGTAGAATAAGTCAAGGGAGAACTCAGGGAGAAGTTATCTCAAGTGCCACCAAAGTGTTGCCAAATTGAAGGAAGAATATTCGAATGACAAATAGGAGCTAGGGAACATGTTCTGAGTGGTAACCAAATCATCTGAGTGCACCATTCTCCAACACAGCTGTGACTCACTCCAATATTGGTTTCATTTTCAATCAGATCCTATAGCACAGTGTGTTTTACTTTAGAAGTTCTAATCTCCTGCTCTGCTAATTGAACTTTAATCACACACACAAGGCTGTTGCATGCTCTAGTAAGCAATTAACAGAGCAGGAGATAAGTAAATCACAATTAAACAAAGAGAAACTGAGAGAAAGAGAAGCTAATAAAATTTAGACTCTTTTTTTCAGGAAGTGTTTGAGTCACAACAAGGGGAGGTGTGGCTACGGCTGCATAAATAGAGTGATTTAACTCCTAAATTGCAAAGAATTGAGCAGTGAGACATTTACATAAAAGCATTTCATTAAGCTAAAGTTGTTTTGCTGCTTAGAGTGCCCTTTTAAGACAGTACCAAGCAAAGGAAGTGATGAGAGCCTTCGGATCTCTAAAGACCATTATAAGGACAGACATGGGAGCACATGAAAAACCTGTAAAGGTTTATGTAGTGTGTTTATCTTTAGAATGCTGACCTGTTATTTGTAAAATATTAGCAGTTCAGATCAGACTGTATTTTTTTTTTTTTTAACTAAGGTTAGGTAGTTGCTTTAACAATAGGCTTAGGAGTTTCTAAAGAGCTACACACCCATATGCTTGAGGGAGAGGGTGTCTCAAATGAAAGGGATCCTGCTTTTTAATTTGATCTCTCTACTGTGGCTAACAAAGAGTTTAAATAGTTCAAACTTCACAAGGTTTAATATGAATATTGTAAATCGCTGCAGAATAAGTTGGCGCTGTATAAATGCCAATAATAAGTCCGTTGGGAATCCACAGAGATCTAATTTTATCAGGAGGAAAGGCTGGATTAGTTAATGCAAACTCCAAATCATTGCAAATGGCATTGTTTTAGACCACTAGAGCAACAAAATTAACTCAAAAACAGCAGATGCCTGGGAAACGGGAACAGAACAAATTACTTTCCACGTTTAAAGAGAGGCACGTGGGATTTATACCCGATATCCCTATCTCTATGCCACTTTCTTATTTTTGCCCTTTGTCACATTCACTTTAATCTATCCCATATCGTTTCCCCCTTTCATTTCCCATGTTCCCCTTCCATCTTCTCTCTTCCTCTAATCTCCCAAGATTTTCAGAGAGGTTTATAATCTTGTCATTTCCTCATAGTTCCTATATTCTTACTTGGCATATCTTCCCGTTATCTCTCCTCATGCTAGAGCAACTCATTTTCTAGCCCTGAATGTAAAGATCTTGATTACAATATAAGGGTCACATTTTATAAAGTTTATTATGGACCTGGGTGTATTAGTCCCGTTTATATACATATGTGTTCAGAATTGGTAATAAACCCAGTATCAGAGCGGTTGCTGTCTGCTCACTGCCCATATTGTTTCACAAACATCAGCAACTTTGTACATTGAATACTCCCCCTCAAACTGTATAACATATTTGTATAAATCACAATCCATGTATTCACTTCTAGAAACAATGCAGAAGCTAAATTAGCATTTAATTTCCAAACATTCTGTAAGACTCTATTTGGAAGCTTTGTTTGTCATTTCATCACTGTGCTGTTCTCGCATAATTTGATCAGTTCCCTAATAAGAAGAATTATTTTAAAATGTACTGGTCAGGTTACGTACATGTTTAAAGAATATAATAGGAGGGGCGGAGCTAGCAACGGAGCTGCACAGATGCCATCTTAGACCGCTCCGGCCGATCGCCCACAATCTCACCCATATCTGCGTCCACTTACACAATCGGACATTAAAAGATCCTCCAAAAGATGCATGAGCTATACCCGGACCGATTGATGCCCTTCTTTCTCCCTAAAAATGTGCCAAAGCGGAGACGCAGGCCTGGGTCCTACACCACACAAGAGATCCCGGACTTGGGGACCGTCCTCGGTGGAGTTTATCAGCACTGGGAGCCTACATACCTGGCCCGACCACAGCCAGAACCTGAACCAGTGGCCTAGATGCCTGCCATGGGACGGGGCTCCCAAAAGCCGAACCCTCCGTCCGACCATTAAGACATCGGAGCCATATTATAGTAACAAGCGCAGCCCAGGATGGCACCCGCGGAGAAAATCCCCACTGCATCACCGGCCACATTACCCGAGCAATGTGACTCACAAGAGTGGGCTGAAACACTCACCACGCCACCGGGACCATGGAGGATTCCAGTCCCACGACTAAGCATGATCTGAAGGTCCTACTACATGACTTCCACAAGTTATTTGCAGCAGAACTAAGGTCAGATATGCAAAACACCACTGACAGATTGTGAGCTACTGAAGAGGACATTATAGACATCAATGCTGGCCTCTCAAATGTACAAACTACAACAGCTTACCAAGTCACACCAAATGTTCTCCCTACAGCTGACCTCCCTACAGACGCAACAACGTAAAAATCCATGGCATACCGGCCACTGTCTTACCCGACGAATTGCCTCATTATGTGAGACGACTGTTGGCGAGTATCTTGCCCTCGGCCGCGGCAAAGAAAATTGCTACGGACGGAGTGTACAGAATCACTGGCCCTATCAGTTCCTCACTTATTACGGACTGTGATGTCATACTGCGCTGCACCACATCCCAAGATAAGGGACGTATCATGGCAGCCCTAAGGGGCAAAACACCGCTATCATTTGAAGAATCACACTTGACCTTTTACCAGGACCTGACGAGATCAACCCTGCAATTGCGCAGGACACTCGCACTGTATACACAACAACTAAGAGCGGCCGGCGTGAAGTACCGATGGGGAGCACCGGAATCCCTCTTAGTGACCCGTCACGGAACAACCCACACCCTCACCCCTCTGGCCAAGGCACCATCACTCCTCACATCCCTGGGACTGGCTATTACTACGTCCGCTCCAACGATGACCACTCCGGTCGGGGCCTGGAACCCCACTACCGTCACACCATTCATCCCAAGAGCTGGAGCTGAAGATCGCCCTGCCACCTGACTACACCTGGATGCCGTGCTAGCTCTACTGATCCTAACCGAGAGAAGCCGGGAACATACCGCTGCAGTCATTGCTCAAGTTTGTTATTTATTTTTATCAATGCCTTGTTTCTAACTATGTTTAAACTTTCTGACTCCCCACAAACTTTAATAGTGGCCCATTATATAAGCCCTTCTACCTAAAAAGTAATGCTCTCAGACAAGACACCTCCCCCCCCCTCTCCGCTAGGGGTACCTAACGATGCAAAGTGCTTAAGCAAACCTAAACACATAGCACCATCCGCATTACCACCTCCAAGAATAACTTATCAAGGTAAACAGTTCTCTCTGAACACTTTGCACCAATTCTCCTCAGTGATTTAATTACAACCCGTAAACTCTCTGGTACACATCCAACCTGTATAACTGGCACACCCCCCAATAGTGAGTTTAGTTTTCCTGTCTTCACTCCTTCCTACTAACACTGAGATTTACCTCTTGAATTTATACCAATCCTTTTGTAATACCCCACAACGCATCAATCTCTACGAATGCCTCATAGCTCACACACACCCTCCTCTTGATATACGTTGTTTAAACATATCTATTGTAAAAAAAAAAAAAAAAAGTGTACTATTTCTCCATGTCACATCAATGTCTAAGTTGCAAAACTGCATTTCCTTCCTACTAACACTGAGATTTACCTCTTGAATTTATACCAATTCCTTTTGTAATACCCCACAACGCATCAATCTCTACGAATGCCTCATAAGCTCACACACACCCTCCTCTTGATATACGTTGTTTAAACATATCTATTGTTAAAAAAAAAAAAAAAAAGTGTACTATTTCTCCATGTCACATCAATGTCTAAGTTGCAAAACTGCATTTCGCTGTTGTGGCATTGTCGGTATAATTGTATTAATTCTCTGGCACAGAACAATAAAGAATTTAAAGAATATCATACAATTCCATGTAGAAATAGTGTTAGCAGAATTCTTGGCAAATGTATAGATTATAAAAAAAACAAAACAGAAAAAAAAATCTATTTAAAATATACGGTCTCTTGCCTCACCTGTCAGCATTCCAGCGTTATTCAGGGTGACCAGATCCACCATGTTTTCAGGGACACATATAACTTTGTCATATTTATGAAAACACATTAAAAGAGTTGCCCTGCAGTATGTATAATGCATATTCTGCAGGATTCTTCATTGCCTAATTGCTTAATTAATTAATTTTATTTATAAAACATTTTACAAGGAAGGATACATCGAGATTTCTCTCGTTTTCAAGTATGTCCTGGGTCCACAAAACATTGCATTGATACAATATGGTACAATAAAATACAAAAACAATATTAATACACAATATAATATATACAAAATATAACATAGAACAGGTAGGAAATATATAATCAACCATGACACGTGCATTCTGTTTTGAGGTATGTAGAGAGGGATCTCGTAAAGGATTTTAGGCCTGGGGAAGATTTGAAGGTGTGTGGGAGGTCGTTCCACAATTGTGGCGATTTGTAGGAGAAGGAGGATCGGGCTGCTTTCTTTTTGTATTGAGGTAGACTAAGTAAAGTGCTGGTACTGGATCAGAGGTTATAAGAGGTGGGAACAGCCAAGGAGAGCATTTTGCTCAGGTAGGGTGGGAGTTTCCAAGAAAAGCTCTAAAACACAAGGCTGGAAAGATGAAGGGTACGTCTGGATACCAGCGACAACCAGTTTAGTTCTTTTAACATGTCACAATGGTGAGTCCTGTAATTACATTGTAGCACAAATCGGCAGAACGAGTTATACAATGTGTTGAGTTTATTAATGTGGGATTGCGGTGCAGGTGCATATACTACATCCCCATAATCAATGATTGGCATCAGCATTTGCTGTACAATCTTTTCCTTTACTGTAGGGCTTAGGCAGGATTTGTTTCTGTACAGGTTTTGGATAAAGTTTAGATGCAAGTTTTTCTATGTGATTATTAAGGTGTTTCTTAATGACACTAATAGGTACAGGTCAAAAATTGAACTGCTCTGTATTGGGTCTTTGCAAATTTAGTGGGGGCCTAATCCACATTTGTAGTTTCAGGATGCGTGTAATTTATTAGCTTGGCAATTATGGTGGTGGAGCATCCGACAAAATAATTGTTTAAAGGCATTCTCTACATACTAAAGGGCTACCCTTTTCACGTGCTGCACATCAGTATGTAAATGTGTTCATGAAAACATGGCTGGTCACTCTGGTGTTATTGGGGAGAATACAGGACCTATTGTGCTGGAGGGGGTTTGTGTTTACAGCTACAAACCATAGATCATTGAATCCCTTTATGCATAAATACATGATTTACCACTCTTTATGTATCCATTGCATAAAGAGATGTTTTTGGCTTAAAATTAACTTGTCGTGACAGGTTTATGTTACACCAGAAATGTAGGCATTTGTTTTTATCCAATAATAGCAATATGCTGTATGATAGCCATCTAAAATAGAACATATGTCCATGCTCCCAGGCATTTGAGCAGCTTGGCAAAAACCACATGCGGCAGAACATAATTCAATTCATTAGTGTTATCGTTTGCAATCTGCTTACATGTATCTATTTACAAAATCTTCCAGAAACATGCTTTAATCTTTTCAAACAACCAAAGATGAATGAAAAATTCAAATAATAAAGTCTTAAAGGGACAACCTAAGCACTAATGTAACTTTAGCTTAATGAAGTAGTTTTGGCGTATAGATCACGCCCCTAAAGTCTCACAGCTCAATTATTTGCAATTTAGGAGTTAAATCACTACTGTTTCTGTTTATGCAGCCCAAGCCACGCCTCCCCTGGCTGTGTCTCACACAGCCTCCCTACACACTTCTCGAAAAAGAGTCTACATTTTGCAGCTTCTCTTGTTGCACAGTATGTTTTAATTTAGAATTTATCGCCTGCAATGTTGATAGCCTGCTAGTGCCTGTAGCAGCCTCATAATATATGATGTATGGTTAAAGTATATGCAGTCTGTGTCTGTCATAGTTAGGGGAGGCGTGACTAGGGCTACATAAACAGAAACAAAAGTGATTTAACTCCTAAATGGCAGAGAATGGAGCAGTGAGATTGCAGTGACAAGATCTATACACCAAAAACTACTTCATTAAATTTAAGTTTTTGTGGTGCTTAGTGTTCCTTCAAGATTACCACTATGCAAAGCAATAATTAGTCTTGTCTTGTGCTGAAACATATCATTACCTTTTTGCCTTTTCATAATCTTCCTGTCTGTGAAAGAGTTTATGTCCATTTAGTAGAATTCCAGAAGGGAAGATATCTGTATAGACGTTTGCACCATGTTGCAGTGGTTGAAAATGTCCTTTTCTGTGTTCCAGGAAAACTGTGGCATGTCTGTATGTAACGGGAAAATCTTCATACTTGGTGGAAGAGGCGAAAATGGAGAGGCAACTGATACTATTCTATGTTATGATCCAGCAACCAGTATCCTCACTGGAGTAGCTGCTATGCCCAGACCCGTGTCTTATCACGGCTGCGTTACAATTCACAGATACAATGAAAAAACCTTCAAAATGTGAACTGTCAATCACATTGAACAAAGAAAAGGGAGGAGCTAGTGTACATTAAACAGACGTGGAATAATCCTTCATCTTCCAAGGGAGACAAATCGATCAATTCATCTAGCTCAAACATAGTATAACACTAAATTTTTCATTTCTTTTCTAACTTTTCATTTTCTGGATATATAAAAATATCTGCTTGCTTGGCCAGTGGGCGGTTTGGCTCCTAGGGAAGAATACAAAGACTTGTTTAATATTTGTAAAATTATTTTCTTAAAACTTCTTTTATATAAGTATTTTTTAATTGTAATTTCTGGTTTCGTGTTTGTATTTTAAGTGCGATAGGTGGATACTTTAAACATAGTTTCTACAACCAATGCCTTTTAATGTGCCTGATTGATGAGCAGTAATTCCTTGAAAAGCAATTATTAATTGTTGAACGTATAATTTTTAGAACCCAAAAACTCCTTCTGTACGTCATTCGTTTATTTTGGGTTGCTGTATTCTGGTTTTGTTAACCACTTTAATTGCTTGCTTTACCTTTAGATAGTGTAAAAAGTTACTTCACGAACAAGGCCTTGTCATGCTTTATCTGCTAATGTAACGTTCATTTATGAGACATTCCTTCTGTGACCCAAAGACAGGACTGCTTGAAATAAACGTCATTTATAATAACCTGCTGATCCATGATATATATATATATATATATATATATATATCACACACACACATATACACTGCTCAAAAAAATAAAGGGAACACTTAACACAATGTAACTCCAAGTCAATCACACTTCTGTGAAATCAAAATGTCCACTTAGGAAGCAACACTGAGTGACAATCAATTTCACATGCTGTTGTGCAAATGGGATAGACAACAGGTGGAAATTATAGGCAATTAGCAAGACACCCCAATAAAGGAGTGGTTCTGCAGGTGGTGACCACAGACCACTTCTCAGTTCCTATGCTTCCTGGCTGATGTTTTGGTCACTTTTGAATGCTGGCGGTGCTTTCACTCTAGTGGTAGCATGAGACGGAATCTACAACCCACACAAGTGGCTCAGGTAGTGCAGCTCATCCAGGATGGCACATCAATGCGAGCTGTGGCAAGAAGGTTTGCTGTGTCTCTCAGCGTAGTGTCCAGAGCATGGAGACGATACCAGGAGACAGGCCAGGACATCAGGAGACGTGGAGAAGGCTTTAAGAGGGCAACAATCCAGCAGCAGGACTGCTACCTCCGCCTTTGTGCAAGGAGGAACAGGAGGAGCACTGCCAGAGCCCTAGAAAATGACCTCCAGCAGGCCACAAATGTGCATATGTCTGCTCAAACGGTCAGAAACAGACGATGTCCACAGGTGGGGGTTGTGTTTACAGCCCAGCACCGTGCATGACGTTTGGCATTTGCCAGAGAACACCAAGATTGGCAAATTCGCCACTGGCGTCCTGTGCTCTTCACAGATGAAAGCAGGTTCACACTGTGACAGACGTGACAGAGTCTGGAGACGCCGTGGAGAACGTTCTGCTGCCTGCAACATCCTCCAGCATGACCAGTTTGGCAGTGTGTCAGTAATGGTGTGGGGTGGCATTTCTTTGGGGGGCCGCACATCCCTCCATGTGCTCGACCAGAGGTAGCCTGACTGGCATTAGGTACCGAGATGAGATCCTCAGACCCCTTGTGAGACCATATGCTGGTGCGGTTGGCCCTGGGTTCCTCCGGACTGGCCCGCCCGTTCCCCAGACCTGAATCCAGTTGAGCACATCTGTGACATCATGTCTCGCTCCATCCACCAACGTCACGTTGCACCACAGACTGTCCAGGGGTTGGCAGATGCTTTAGTCCAGGTCTGGGAAGAGATCCCTCAGGAGACCATCTGCCACCTCATCAGGAGCATGCACAGGCATTGTAGAGAGGTCATACAGGCACGTGGAGGCCACACACACTACTGAGCCTCATTTTGACTTGTTTTAAGGACATTACATCAAAGTTGGATCAGCCTCTACTGTGTTTTTCCACTTTAATTTTGAGTGTGACTCCAAATCCAGACCTCCATGGGTTGAAAAATTTGATTTCCATTTTTAAATTTTTGTGTGATTTTGTTGTCAGCCCATTCAACTATGTAAAAAACAAAGTATTTGTTTAATTCATTCAGATCGAGGATGTTATTTTTGTGTTCCCTTTATTTTTTTTGAGCAGTGTGTGTGTGTGTATGTATATATATATATATATCACCTTATTTCCAGGGCCGCGCGGGTCTGCAGGTGCTGGCTCCGCCCCCTTTGTGACATCATCAAAATGGCCAATTTTTAGCCAATCCAATGCTTTCCTACATTAAGCTGTAGTTGTTCTGGTGACTATAGTGTCCCTTTAAGGAAACACTATATCGATAAGAATACAGAACTGTAATCCTCTGAAACTGTAGTGTTTTACATTCCAGGGTTAAGAGGACAGGGACACTGCACTCAGACCACGTCAATGAGATAAAGTGGTCTGGGTGCCCATAGTTCCCCTTTCACTATTTTTAGATGCTCTGTTTTATTTTAAATTAATAAATAAGATTTAGCAAATTAAATCATAATCCATTCCAGGCAAATAAGAGGAGAAATATATTGAAACATTCTACAAGCCAACTATGCTTCCAGAGCAGCTACTCTGGCCGTTAATTTGAAATTCACTTTGATTTTCAGACACTTCTCACTGTAGTACATAACCCTTGCTGTCTCATTTCTCCTCTTCTCTCTTTGCTTTACGTCTGCAGGCTGCCAAGTGCAAAGGACAGAGCTTATAACAATGACTGACCGGGCGCTAAGATAGGGGCACCCATTTACAGGATCAAGAGTTGTGGATTTTAACATTTAATTTTATTTATTACACCTGACAAACATATATTTGTTAAATTCAGGGGGTAATGAAACATAATTACTAATCCAGGGAAGTAACAGTTCCCCTTGAAAAGGTTAAATTAACTAGTAAAAATATAATGGAGGCCCATAAAGGCATTTTTTTTTAACTGTAAGTATTTGAATATGCTATTATTATTTGAACTCTTAATGATAAACTTGTTTTTTTTTTTCATAATTGCACAATATAAAGAACTCACTGGGGATGCCTTGTGATTTTTTTTATTTTTTTTTAGAGCGTCTGGTTATTTATTTCTCAATTACTATCTATGAAATCCATATATTTTCATTCTTTATAAGTAAATACCAGAGTAATATTGTGTGCCTTTCATTGAAAGCATATTATAGGACTATCAAGACTATTTTTATTATTATTAAAGGTGCAATGTGTTTTCCCCAATAGGAATCAATTAAGCAATGTTATGTGTCTTGTTTAAGTTTGCACAGTTATGTTTTGTATTTTTTTTGCATGTTATATGGGCTTTTGGACTTTTATGTGCTGTGATACTTTAATTATTGTTGGATTATTGAATTTGCAAAAATTGTTGTTGAGGTACAACTCCCATCACTCTTTGGCAGCCATGAACAATCTTCCCAGCAGTAAAGTGTAAGCTTTACTTTGCAACTCTCTGTCATGACCATTTACTGTACATGCAAGAGCAAAAACGAGTTTGTTGCATACTATGTGAGCACTGTACAAATAAAAATGTTGCTGTGAATCACAAGTGTAGCTGTCTTTAGCCAATTCCTCAATTTTCTTTAGCAATGGGAACAATTCTATACAGCTTACATTTTGCCATAAAGAATATGTCTACAATTCCTTTTATATGTATGCTTTATTGTGGTATAACTATGGGTTTTTAATAGGATTTGTTGTAATGCACGTTTCTCCAAACTAGAGTACTGATATGACATAATGGGCTTCAATCACAAAACTGCCTATGTAGAACCATACTTGCAAAACATGGCAAATACGAGGCCAGGATTGGAGGGCTTGGAGGAAAGTCAGTGATACAATTCATTCAACAAAACAGGAAAGCAGCACAAGGGCTCACATCCATGACAGTCCCACTGGTTTTAGGACTGTTGGCAAGTATATACAAGTACAGGTAGTTCCCGACTTGACGAACTAATTGGTTCCAAATCCTAGTTCATAAAGTGAGAACTAATTTCCCTTAGACCGCAATGTAATAAACATGGGTTCTGTTCCTGACCAAAAAATAAATTGTTTCTGGTTTGTTTTGATATGCTCTATATGTCTCAATCACACCCATACCCCTCCATTCCCCCCTTCCAGTGATTCATTAGCCCCTCCATATGTCTCAATACCCCCTCCCAGACCCCTCCAGGTGTCTCACTCCTTCTCCCAGTGTCTCATTATCATCTCCCAGCCCCTCCAGGTGTCTACCTCCCCCTCCCATTGTCTCATTACCCCCTCAAAGTGTCTCCTCCCCCCCAAGCTCCTCCATGTGTCTCATTCCCCTCTCCCAGTCCCTCGATGTGTCCCATTTCCACCACCCAGCCTAATCCATGTGTCTCATTTTCCCCCTCCCCGTCCATGTGTCTCTCCTCTCTCCTGTACCCGTCCATGTGTCTCTCCTCCCTCCTGTACCCGTCCATGTGTCTCTCCTCCCTCCTGTACCCGTCCATGTGTCTCTCCTACCTCCTGTACCCGTCCATGTGTCTCTCCCCCCCCTCCCTTCCTGTACCTGCCCATGTGTCTCTCCATTCTCCCCTCTCGTACCTGTCCATGTGCATCTCCCCTTCTTTCAGGTGTCTCTCCCCCTTCCTGTTCTGTACCTGTTCACCATGGTAGAGTACCCGGTCTGACAGGAAGTGCTCTCTCAGTGAGCACTGCCTGGCAGACTGCAGTCCGCTCGGCCACGCTACAACAGCAGCAGGAGGGGAGCAGCTCAGCACAGCACACCCTCCTTCCAATCACCATCATTGTTACTAACCTTTCTCTTCTCCTGGCCACAAACTGTGCTCATCATTCCGCATCCATGGAGCGCTGGCACAAAGTGGCGGTTCATAAACCGGGAAATGCCTGTATATCCGATTAACTGAATTTACAATTTTGAGGCAGATTCTAAGTTTACCTACTAACCTGAATAGTGATTTATATCCAGGAATTGGGGCTTGCTTATCTTTCAGAAGATCTGTGTGCAACACTGTGTAGTTTGGTAGCAATGTATACATAAACCTAGTATACAGAATGAATGGTGAAAAAATTTATATTAATACTCAGAGTTAACAATTGTTTCAACATGGTGTGACACTTCTTAACCACTTAAGGACACAACTTCAGAAATAAAAGGGAATCATGACGGAATATTTCCGTCGTGTCCTTAAGGGGTTAATGCAGCATTGTTAAAAGAACACTATAGTCACCAGAACAACTACAGCTTATTGAATTTGTTCTGGTGAGTAGAATTATTTCCTCCAGGCCTTTTTCTGTAAAGAGAAAATGCAGTGTTTACATTGCAGCCTAGTGATAACTACACTGGACCATCCTCAGATGGCTGCTAGAGCTGCTTCATTGGGCAGTGCTGCAGAGTAAGCAGCACTGCTATTCAGTGTCTCCACCCTCTGCATTCAGGCACCGAACTTTCCTCATAGAGATGCATTAATTGTCCAGGGCTGTGTTTGACTTGTGCTGGCTCTGTCCCTGATCTGCCTATTTGACAGTCTCAGGCAATCCTATGGGGAAGCATTGTGATTGGCTCAGACCACCACTAATGATGATGTCAGCAGACAGAGGCGGTTCACAGGTAAACAAGGGGCAAACCCAGGAGCTGCAGATTTGAATACAAGTAAGATTTTACTATATTTAGGGAAGGAAGAGGGGGCCAGGAGGTCTAGATGGTGGTTTGAACAGTATAATGTCAGGAATACATGTTTGTGTTCCTGATCCTATAGTGATCCATTAACTAACCTCCTCCACCCCCCAATTAGTATTTCAGGAAGATAAAATCTTGGCAGAGCTACCTTTTGTCAAGCTCCCATCTGCTTCTAGTGACTGCTCTGAAATATTCTGTTGCTGCATCTCTAAACATTCAGTATTATATCCTTTACATTTAAATTGATTTTAGCCAAAAATTGCAGTTTTCCATAGTCCATTTTCCCCAATTTAATGTGTAATAGTGTGAAGGCATGTGACGTAGAGTATCACGGGAAATGCGTTTTAACAATCTTTTTTCCTAGATATTTTCTAACAAGCTAGTAAGGGGAAATTAAGAAATAATTGTCAAAAATAACAAGCTCACAATTCATTTCTGTCTGTTGTATGGAGACTTAAGGGCTGTGGACAACTCGGTTTTGGATTGAAATTTGCAAGATTTTTTGTAAAAACACAATGTAACTGTTCTGTAACCCCCCATGCTATTTATGGATGGTTTCGTTCTGTTGAATGCTGTTTTGCAAGAATATGTATGGGAAAAAAAGAAATAAACTTTTTTTTAAACTATTGAAACTGCATTCACTGTGTTTTTTTTATTTTTTTTTCTGTATCTAAGAATTACTATATTTCAGGTATTATGGTATGGCATGCATTTTGATAATTTTTACATCACGTGATCCCTGTGTATTTCAATGTGTATCTTCCTTCTTGTTCTCCACTCTCCATAGCAGCCATAAATGTAGCCATGTTTTGCTCAGGGAATCCAGTTCAATATGGTGCACAATAATTAAGGTTTTGGCCTTTAACTTAAAACCATGACATATGGATTTACAGTGCCATCTAGTGACCATAATCCAGAAGGAAAGAGGAGAAACTGGAAGAAGTTTTCGTACCGTTCCTGATCATCCATAATACTGACAATGTCTCCTAAACGGCACTGTCACAGCCCCCCAAATCTTTATGAAATACTTATACTGACTTTGTTTGTAATTTCACTGATATTCCAATCCAGTCAAAAGATACACTGAGACAAAGTTGGGGTTCAGTATTTTTCCTAGGCCTGAGACTTCTAGACACTGGACAGGGCTACCGCCGTCTACAAGTGGCAGTCTCTCATGGGATCCTCAGCAGATCTCAATGCATGCATGACAGTACATCAGTCATGTCGATTCCTGGTGCTAAAGCTCCAGGAGCAGAAAAGGACCAGCCAGAAGAAGATGGCATCTCCCATGAGGGACAGGTTCAGGTAAGTAAAACTCACCTTCCCTGCCCGCTGGCCACTGAACCACCAGAGTCTATGTAACCGTTGGGGGGTCTTTGCAATTCATGATGGTGACAATGCTGCTTTAAGGGTTACTCCGACACTGTTTCACTATTAACTCCCCTCCCACCCCCCATTTATTTCCCTATTAAAAAAAACTTAAAACTTACATTTAATCCAGCACCTTGTGAGGTTTTCCTTGATTATTTCCACAGTCTGCTTGTCATCACAACACATTACTGCTTCATAGAAACATAGAATGTGACGGCAGATAAGAACCATTCGGCCCATCTAATCTGCCCAATTTTCTAAATACTTTCATTAGTCCCTGGCCTTATCTTATAGTTAGGATAGCCTTATGCCTATCCCACGCATGCTTAAACTCCTTTACTGTGTTAACCTCTACCACTTCAGCTGGAAGGCTATTCCATGCATCCACTACCTTCTCAGTAAAGTAATACTTCCTGATATTTTTAAACCTTGGTCCCTCTAATTTAAGACTATGTCCTCTTCTTGTGGTAGTTTTTCTTCTTTTAAATATAGTCTCCTCCTTTACTGTGTTGATTCCCTTTAAGTATTTAAATGTTTCTAACATATCCCCCCTGTCTCGTCTTTCCTCCAAGCTATACATGTTAAGATCCTTTAAGCTTTCCTGGTAAGTTTTATCCTGCGATCCATGAACCAGTTTAGTAGCCCTTCTCTGAACCCTCTCTAAGGTATCAATATCCTTCTGAAGATACGGTCTCCAGTACTGTGTACAATACTCCAAGTGAGGTCTCACCAGTGTTCTGTACAATGGCATGAGCACTTCCTTCTTTCTACTGCTAATACCTCTCCCTATACAACCAAGCATTCTGCTAGCATTTCCTGCTGCTCTATTACATTGTCTGCCTACCTTTAAGTCATCAGAAATAATCACCCCTAAATCCCTTTCCTTAGATGTTGAGGTTAGGACCCTATCAAATATTCTGTACTCTGCCCTTGGGTTTTTACGTCCAAGATGCATTATCTTGCACTTATCCACATTAAATGTCAGTTGCCACAACTCTGACCATTTTTCTAGTTTACCTAAATCATTTCCTTCCACGAGGTCCTGTCAAATGCTTCTCATAGAGAAGCATTTTATTGGCCCGATCTCACAGGTTCAGAGAGCATGTGTGGACGAGGAGAGGAGGTAGTTTGAGATGAACTAGGGTGGTAGTCAAAGGGAGGGGACCATATTAGAAAAAAAAAGTTAAATATGTATTGCATGAAGAAGGGGGAGATAAATTTCATACACAGATTGTGAGTGCAAGAAAAAAAGGATTGAAAGAGTATATAGGGAGGTGGGTAGGGTTAGGAGGCTGCTTGATGAGGGAATGGACAACATTTATTATAGAAATGCAGTCTTATACTTGTAGGTATGTTCATATTGCTATCTGGAAGTGTGGAAGCTGATTATGTCTGTCGCCAGTGCGCAGCACAAACTAACATCAGACGTAATTTTTTACACACTATTCATATTAGTCAGTCCGAAACAGAGTTCCAGGCTGCTTAAATCACAGATACGCTGCACATACAGCTGGTTTGCTCAATTACGAATTCTAATAGCAGAAGTGATCATGGTGGTTGGAGTAACCCTTTACGTTAGGAGTAAAATATAGGTGCCTGCTAAAGAAGAGGATATATTGCTTGCACAAATTACAATCTTTATAGAACAAATAATACAAGTACAAGACATATTGATTCATAATCAATAATGATTCATCTGATGTAAAACATATCCAGGGGTACCATTGACAACAGTCATCAGATAAGATACATACAGTCAAGGGGAAAAAAGAAAATACAGATGGTACTCGAATAATTAGAATATCGTGCAAAAGTTCATTTATTTCAGTAATGCAACGTAAAAGGGGAAGCGAATATATGAGATAGACGCATTACATGCAAAGCAAGATAGTTCAAGCCATGATTTTTCATAAGTGCGATGACTATGGCTTACAGCTCACGAAAACCCCAAATCCACAATCTCAGTAAATTAGAATATTACATGCAATCAATAAAACAAGGAGTGTACGTAGAACAATATCGGACATCTGAAAAGTATAAGCATGCATATAGACTCAGTACTTTGTTTGGGCACCTTTTGCAGCAATTACTGCCTCAATGCGGCATGGCATGGAAGCTATCAGCCTGTGGCACTGCTGAGGTGTTATGGAAGACCAGGATGCTTCAATAGCGGCCTTCAGCTCTTCTGCATTGTTCGGTCTCATGTCTCTCATCTTTCTCTTGGCAATGCCCCATAGATTCTCTATGGGGTTCAGGTCAGGCGAGTTTGCTGGCCAATCAAGCACAGTAATCCCACGGTCATTGAACCAGGCCTTGGTGCTTTTGGCAGTGTGGGCAAAATGAAGTCAGCATCCCCATAAAGCTCATCTGCGGAAGGAAGCATGAAATGCTCCAAAATCTCCTGGTAGACGGCTGCGTTGACCCTGGACTTAATGAAGCTCCCCAAATCAACACAGACTGTGGAAACTTCACACTGGACTTCAAGCATCTTGCAGTGTGTGCCTCTCCATTCTTCCTCCAGACTCTGGATCCTTGGTTTCCAAATGAGATGCAAAAGTTGCTCTCATCAGAAAAGAGGACTTTGGACCACTGAGCAACAGACCAGGTCTGTTTTTCTTTAGCTCATGTAAGACGCTTCTGACATTGTTTGTTGTTCATGAGCAGCTTGATAAGATGAATACGACATCTGAAGCCCATGTCCAGGATCCCTCTGTGTGTGGTGGCTCTTGATGCCCTAACTCCAGCCTCAGTCCACTCCTTGTGAAAGTCCCCAAAACTTTTGAATTGCCTTTTCCTGACAATCCTCTCCAGGCTGCGCGTTGTCCATGCTGCTTGTGCACCTTTTTCTTCCACACTTTTCCCTTCCACATAACTTTCTATTAATGTGCTTTGATACAGCACTTTGGGAACATCCAACTTCCTTCGCAATTACCTTTTGAGGCTTTCCCTCCTTATGGAGGGTGTCAATGATGGTTTTCTGCACAACTGTCAGGTCAGCAGTCTTCCCCATGATTGTGATTCCTACTGAACCAGACTGAGAGACCATTTAAAGGCTCAGAAACCCTTTGCAGGTGTTATGGCTTACTTAGCTGATTAGAGTGGGACACTGTGAGCCTAGAATATTGCACCTTTTCACAATATCCTAATTTACTGAGATTGTGGATTTGGGGTTTTCATGAGCTGTAAGCAATAATCATCGGACATGACAAATCACGGCTTGAACTATCTTGCTTTGCATGTAATGCATCTATCTCATATATTAGTTTCCCCTTTTAATTTGCATTAATGAAATAAATTAACTTTTGCACGATATTCTAAGTATCACCTGTTTACCCCCTTTGAATTCGAAAGGTTTTACATATCAGAACAAGATAAAAAAAATCATCATCTGTTCCTTAGCAGGTCTTAAAATTAGGTAAATACAACCTCAGATGAACAATAACACATGACATATTACACCGTGTCATGGTTTATTTTACAAAAATAAAGCAAAAATAGAGAAGACATGTGTGAACAATTAGGTACACCCTTACTGCTACCATAGGAATTAAGAGGCTAAGTAGCAATGTTCAGAGAAATTACAAAAAAAAAACAAGATTTGCATATCAGACTCTACAGGCCTCAGTTAAATGTTCTAAGTCATGATGATACAATTAGAAAAGACTGAGCAAGTATGGTTTGTTTAGAAGTGTTGCCTGAAGAAAGCCTCTTCTCTCTAAAATTAACATGGCAGCATTACTTAAAGGACCACTATAGTGCCAGGAAAACATACTCGTTTTCCTGGCACTATAGTGCCCTGAGGGTGCCCCCACCCTCAGGGTCCCCCTCCCGCCCGGCTCTGGAAGGGGAAAGGGGTAAAAACTTACCTTTTTCCAGCGCTGGGCGGAGAGCTCTCTGCCTCCTCTCCGCCTCCGTTACGCCCCGCCGGCTGAATGCGCACGCGCGGCAAGAGCTGCGCGCGCATTCAGCCGGTCTCATAGGAAAGCATTTACAATGCTTTCCTATGGACGCTTGCGTGCTCTCACTGTGAAAATCACAGTGAGAAGCACGCAAGCGCCTCTAGTGGCTGTCAATGAGACAGCCACTAGAGGATTAGGGGGAAGGCTTAACCCATTCATAATTATAGCAGTTTCTCTGAAACTGCTATAATTATGAAAAAATGGGTTAACCCTAGAAGGACCTGGCACCCAGACCACTTCATTAAGCTGAAGTGGTCTGGGTGCCTAGAGTGGTCCTTTAAGGGTAGGTTTG